AGGAATACTCCCCTCTCCACAGAATGTCAGTACTAGCATTACTCCCCTCCCCACAAAATGTCTGTTCAAGGCACTTTTCCTCTCCACAGACTGCCTGTACCACCAACTCGCCCTCCCCTCAGAATGTCTGTACCACCAACTCTCCCTCCCCACAGACTGCCTGTACCACCACCTCTCCCTCCCCACAGACTGCCTGTACCACCAACTCTCCCTCCCCACAGACTGCCTGTACCACCACCTCTCCCTCCCCACAGACTGCCTGTACCACCAACTCTCCCTCCTCACAGACTGCCTGTACCACCAACTCTCCCTCCCCCACAAGAGTCAGTGAGACATGGCAGCAGTCAGTAGCCAGTCTTGGATTTAAGGCATGTAATTCAATCATGTAATCAATACTTAGTCGTGTACTCGCCAGTGTCTGTCTGGGCCAGAGGTTCAGATACTGTTAGTATTATCACATCTCTGCCAAATGGCCCTCAGTGGAGATAGTGTCACTAACACAGCCCAGCATGGTCAGCCCAGCATGGTCAGTCCAGCTATTAATTTCCATTTGTATGCATAGACTGGCTAGGCTGTAGTAGAGTGGGTAGTACTACGGCATTACTGGACGTTACACGTGTACTGTCACCAGCGGTACAGATCAGGTGGGATTATTGTATAGTTATTGATCAGGCAGTAACATGATTTCAGGAAAATAAAGAAATTAGGTTTCATTAGTACAAAAGGAGGCTGCAAAAATCAGTCTTGTTGCAGATAGGCTTGAGATATCTTAGTCGCTACCTCAGTACACTGCTGTTAACAGCACTGGGATAGGATAGAGTGGTGTTTTAGAGCTGTAGCACAGTACAGCACTGGGATAGGATAAAGTGGTGTTTCAGAGCTGTAGCACAGTACAGCACTGGGATAGGATAGAGTGGTGTTTCAGAGCTGTAGCACAGTACAGCACTGGGATAGGATAAAGTGGTTTTCAGAGCTATACCACAGTACAGCACTGGGACAGGATAAAGTGGTTTTCAGAGCTATACCACAGTACAGCACTGGGACAGGATAGAGTGGTTTTCAGAGCTATACCACAGTACAGCACTGGGATAGGATAGAGTGGTTTTCAGAGCTGTACCACAGTACAGCACTGGGACAGGATAAAGTGGTTTTCAGAGCTATACCACAGTACAGCACTGGGATAGGATAGAGTGGTTTTCAGAGCTGTACCACAGTACAGCACTGGGATAGGATAGAGTGGTGTTTCAGAGCTGTAGCACAGTACAGCACTGGGATAGGATAGAGTGGTTTTCAGAGCTATACCACAGTACAGCACTGGGATAGGATAGAGTGATTTTCAGAGCTATACCACAGTACAGCACTGGGATAGGATAGAGTGGTTTTCAGAGCTGTACCACAGTACAGCACTGGGATAGGATAGAGTGGTGTTTACAGCACTGGGAGAGCTATACCACAGTAGCACTGGGATAGTACAGCACTGGGACAGGATAAAGTGGTTTTCAGAGCTATACCACAGTACAGCACAGAGCTGTACAGCACTGGGATAGGATAGAGTGGTGTTTTAGAGCTGTAGCACAGTACAGCACTGGGACAGGATAAAGTGGTTTTCAGAGCTATACCACAGTACAGCACTGGGATAGGATAGAGTGGTTTTCAGAGCTGTACCACAGTACAGCACTGGGATAGGATAGAGTGGTGTTTTAGAGCTGTAGGATAGAGTGGTCTGGACCTCTACCTCAATACGAGGCGGTTGGGTAACCTTGTGGTTAAAGCGTTCGCTCATCATGCCCGAAGACATGGTTCCATTCCCCATATGGGTACAATGTGTGAAGCCCATTTCTGGTGTCCCATGCCATGATATTGCTGAAATATTCCTAAAAGCAGTGTAATACCCGACTGGTTCACTCACTCTACCTCAGTACACTGCAGGTGAGGTGAGGTGAGGGGAAATTGGGTTTTACGTCGTGCTTGAGAATATTTCGCTCATATTACGACGTGCATGCATGTGTATGTGCATGTGCGGCTGCTTGTACTAGCCCAGACTTAAGCTGGTTTTATAATGCTAGCCCACTGAAATACCATGCCGCAGTGAAGCATGAATACCCCTCTCAGACACATTATACTGACTCCGAGCCGACCAGTCCTTGTTGTACCCATTAATGCCGAGCGCCAGGCAGGGACCAACAAGTACCATATTTTAACGTCTTTTGGTATGACGCGGTTGGTGATCGAACCCGCGACCTTCTGCTCTCTGGGCGGACGCTCTAACCACTACACAGTACACCGCAGACTGCATTAGGGCAGGACAGAGTGATCTTGGTGTGCATAAAATATATTTTGCTATTTTCTGTCCTTGTAGGCAGTATTTATTTTGAACGGTAAATGTATCTTGACTGGAGACTGGAGAATCTCAGTATTCTGTATTTGTTTGTTTGTGGTTAAAATGCCACAATCAGTATTATGTCAGCTGCATGATGCCAATCTATAAGTGTTCAAATCTGGGCCAGAAAAACCAGTGACTGATATAATGAGCAACAGTTCATGCTATTAGGTTATAACCGGAGCCTGATTCATTTTGCAGGGTTCGCACGGGCTTGAAACAGCTTGAAATTTGGACAGTTTACCCCACAAATCCCATAATTTGTTTTAACCTTGAAAAGGCCCTAATTGCCAATGATTTAATCTAAATGGTCCTATATTTAGCAAACTTCTCAAGTTATGATTTTACAGGAAACTAAAACATAATAAAAAATACCTTGCAATGGCAGTAGATGTTCATTAATCTCCATCACAAAGCAAAGTTTTCCCAGTGCAGCGATGTACCTAAGAGTTATTAGTAACCCTTGGATGTTTGGTCCCACATTTGACCAACCTTGTGTGTATTCCCTACTTATGTGTTATGTGTTTCTATAGTTTCCTAAACTTATTGACTGAGCCATGAGTTATCTCCCCCTGACAGTCGGTCCCACATTTGACCAACCTTGTGTGTATTCACCTACTTATGTGTTATATGTGTTTCTATGGTCTTAAACTTGTTGACCGCCTTGGTGGTGTAGTGGTTAGAGCGTCCGCCCTGAGAGCGAAAGGTAGCGGGTTTGATGCCCGGTCATTAACGTTAACCCCATTTCACCTCACCTCACCTTAAAATTGTTGATTTTGCCTTGAAAAGCCCCCCAAAAAGCCTTTATTGTGATTGCTGGTAATCTGTATGAATGCTGTTATGTCTCCTCTTACAGCAAGCATAGGCAGGGCTCGATTTAAGAGATGTTAACCCACTTGCACCATGTGCAACCTAAGATAAACACCCAGCTGCACCTGTCAAATTCCAATTGCACTGTTTTTATTGCAATATGTAATATAAGAAATATGCTATTGAATTATTTAGATGTTTTATTCAGAAGTTTACCCACTAAAAAATTGACTTGCACCTGGTGCAAGTTAGACTAATAACTAATATTGGGTTGCACCAGTGCAAGTAACAAAGCACTAAATCGAGCCCTGATAGGTGAACTGTATTCTTACTCGACCTCCCCAAGGGGTTCACAGTACACTGTATCAGCCTGAACATGAATCTCGTTCCGTCCCTCTCTGCTGACACACTTCACATTCAACCGGGGAATTAAGTCATGAATCATTCATTCACCATTAACGAGTCCCAGACTAAAAGCAGCTTATTACAATGGATTTGGTGGGATTTTTTGTACAAAAGTTGCGAAGGCTTCTGATGAAAATGTATATTCTGATTGCTCAAATTGAAATTTAGTGATTGTGGTAGGAGTATGAAGGATTGGCTGAGTCAGCAGTTTGGCATCCTGTTGTTGATTTTAATGTGAATGTTTGACATTATTGTGTCATGTTGACCCAAAGCATGGACACTATTTCAAAACAGTATCTGTACGTTATTTTAACTATAGTTTCAAACGTTATGATCTCTATGGTTTTGTTATGAACATTTAATGTCATGACTGCATGACTGCTTTAGAAAAAGGACTGATATATACTACTAAAAGAGTGAATAAAGAAGACCCGATTTCTTTTATATTTTTGTAGTTAATCTGTCATGACATGTCCTGTACACACAAGTGTCAAGAATGGATGTCTAGATTTTTTTGTGTTTGTTGTATAATGCTGCACTCAGCAATATTCCAGCTCTATGTGGTGGTCTGTAAATAATTGAGTCTGGATCAAACAGTGATCAACAGCATGAGCATCAATCTACATAATTGGGATACAATGACTTGTGTTAATTCAATCAATTCTTTATGCTTGCTTCAGTTTTGAGAGATCGATTAAGTGTCGAACAGGAAGTCAACATTATCCAATGAAGGAGCTCCTTTACGGCACTAGTCTCAAAACTGTTGGTTGGTTGGTTGGTTTGTCGTTTAATGCCACACTCAGAAATATTCCAGCTATATGGTGATGGCCTGTACATAATTGAGTCTGAACCAGACAATCCAGTGATCAACAGCATTGATCTACGCCATTGGAATACGATGACATGTGTCAACCAAGTCAGTGAACCTGACCACCCAATCCCCGTTAGTCACCTCTTATGGACAAGCATGGGTTGCTGAAGACCAATTCTAACCCAGATCTTCATGGGTAGAATGGATGCATAACATAAATATCACTGCTTACAGTACCTTTTATCTTTTCATTTCTTTACAGGATCTCTTTAGAATTAATTATTGGTGTCACCTTGACCCCTAATTTTGTAGACGACTAAAGGTCATGTATGAACATGCTGAAATTCAACTTGATGGTATCGAATGAGATGAATAGACGCTTAATTCATTGCAGTTTTGGTGTCCGGTAACTTCACTTCATGCTGAAGACCCAGGTTCGATTCTCCACATGGGTACAATGTGTGAAAAATCCATTTGTGTCCCCTGTCATGATATTGCTGCAATAGTTCTAAAAGCATCGTAAAACTAAACTCACTCACTCATTCTGCAAGGAGTTCTCATCGAGGGATAATTACATTTTTTATTTTGTTTCAGGTGTGACAGTGGGTGAAGACATTAAAATACATGCAACGACAGACAACAATGTGACGCTGAAATGCACCAAAGTTCGGGGGAGACGAGAAGGTGGGAGGGATCCTGTGGTATAAGAATGGCGTCTTCTTCGCATCGAAGGGAAACAGCAAGAAGATCAACTTTGCCGACCCGGCATACAAGGACAAGACGGATATATTGGAAGATCACAGTCTGGTGTTGTACACGGTCAGGGTCAGAGACACGGCCAACTACACGTGTAAAGTGTACGTTGAAGATTCCCAGAATGCATCAATGAAAGAAAGGAATGTCACACGCATTTTAGTTGTTCAAGGTTTGTAAATATTAATTATTGATTATTTTAAGTTGGAATAGATATCCATATGTTTCTGTGGACAAAATTTAAGGTGATCTTGTGAAGGATTATCTTGTACTAAATGGACTTTGTAACTTTTACCTTGTGTCCAGTTTAATGGTTTGACAGCATTCTACTGTCTGGGGTGCATTTATGGTCCTTGGTCTAGATGTGGTAGAGGTTAACTTTGTCTCTTCTAGAGCTAGATCGAGTAAGTAAACTAATGAAGATTTGAATGAAATGTACCTGGATATACATTTTTCCTAGGCCTTGTTCCTTGAAACTCTAGTTTTCTGGTGTTAAGAAGTATTACTATGAAAGGTGAAGGAAACGTGAAATTATTGCTGTGGTCAATTTTAACATTTTTATCAAGCCTTTTCTCAATATAAGTGTGATTTAAAACAGGGACTGCTCCCATGGCCTGGTGAAGGTCTGGATGTAGTTTCTTTAGTATCAACCTCTCCATGTCAAAAGGGTTCCTTAGCGCTAAGATGATTGTATCTCCAATACCTTAATATTGACCTATGACAGTCATAGACCTTAAATGGCTTTGTGAAAGAGAACCCTGATTTACATGGACAAATTGAAGGTCTGTTGAGGACCTATGTCAGATATGCAGTGATTGCCAGTTGCATTAATCATAGTTCTTCTTAGGGGTGATGGGGTAGCCTTGTGGTTAATGCGTTCGTTCGTCATGCTGAAGACCAGGGTTCGATTCCCCACATGGGTAAAATGTGTGAAGTCCATTTCTGGTGTCCCCCTGTAAAAGCAGTGTCAAACTAAACTGTCTCATTCACTCTTCTTAAATTCATCTCTCATCACAAAATGCACCATGCAGAAACACAGAAGACTTCCGAATCTGAATTCGCAGTGAATGAGTGAAGCAGTACACAGATATGATACTTGTAGGTTAGCTTTGAAAATGACTGAATTACTTCCAACGTTTGTATGTAAGTGATAGAGTACAACAATTCTTTTAGAACCTGAATATGATTTTGAAATTGCATGCTTATTAAACCACTTACATCTTGAATATTAGAAGAATTAACAGTTTAAAAAAGTGACAGTTGTGCCTACTTCTATCGATAAGGAAATAGTTACTTGAAGGGGCGGTGGGGTAGCCTAGTGGTTAAAGCGTTGGCTCGTCACGCTGAAGACCCCGGGTTCGATTCCCCACATGGGCACAATGTGTTCAGCCCATTTCTGGTGTCCCCTGCCGTGATATTGCTGGAATATTGCTAAAAGCGGCGAAAACTAAACTCAGTCAGTCAGTCAGTTACTTGAAACAATGGCAGTATTTTTAAAGTGTGTTAGTTTGAATCCACAACCCTGAAATGATTGTAATTTATTCCATAATTCTCCTGCGGCTATATAACAGAAAAGATGGGTGAGTCTGAGTGTCAAGCATGGCTAATTTCATGTCTGCACTGTCTGTTGTTGAAACAACTTTCCTGACTCTAATTTGACCATTTGTGTTCCAGCCTATCAATTTATTCTGTGCAGTTATTTTGAGAGAGCATGACAGATTGTTCACAGATAGTCTCCATCACCACCTTGCACCTTTGCGTCTTCATCTTCTTTCCTCATCAACTTCTTGTCATTTTTCTCAGTCGTAAAAAAATGTCTTCTTGAAATGATCCTGTCAGAAACTAGAATTAGGTTTTAATTCTGCACAGCCTTTACACCTCTCTTTCTACTATTCTAGATAGCTGGTAGCTGATGCCAATGTGACCTTGACCTTTTAGGTAGTAATCGGTGCATGGCACATTGAAACGTGGTCTGGTACCCAGTGGCTGTGTTACGAGAGTTAGGGTAGTGGGTATGGGTTTGCTGGTCTCCAAACAGTCTTGGTTTACTTCCTACGACGGATTTATTTACTAAGATCATTCCCAGGTTTACCCAGCACCTAATTACCCAGTTCTTAAAATAATAAAACTTTCGTAAATATGTCAGATGGTAAGTTAAAAGAATGTATATAAATTTGGTATTGTATCTGAAAGTTCATACTGATAAGTTATGTTATCAACCTTAACTGCATGCGAAATGTTTCTTTTTTACATTTCTTTCTAAAATTGATGAAAGTACTAGGTTATGAGTTGTTGAATTTCATCATGGTCATAAGATTTTTCAATTAAATTTGATTGTTTGCATTCATTATTTGGGAACTGCATCCTTCAAACCATGGTTCAGTCCACCCTACAGATTGTAGACGATGGGTAACAGCTCTGTATGTCAGTACACTTCACCCTCCCATCATCATTTTATTGTGAAGAACCATTTGAAATTGTTGATTGTGTGAAGAAAACTTTGGTGCTATGAATTTATTAATCTGTTTAAAGTAATTCTCATTAAAATCAGATGTTTGTGCTTGATACAGTTACACAAAGATCTGGAGAAGTCCCTTTACAGGTTATGTCATAACGACCTTTCACCAGACCAATTGTAGCATCTGAATGTGTTTCCTAATGATGCAACCTCGAACAAAACAAATGTTTCAAACATCTGAAATTGAAAATATACTCCTGCTTAGCCATGTATCAGATATTCCACACATTTTATTTTTTCTTCAGCTTTTATATTTTGGATCAAGAACCTTGTCAACATTGTTTTCAAGTGCCGTAAAGCTGGTCCTTCATTGGATACTGTTGATTTTGTCAGTCATTTAATTGATCTCTCAAAACAGTAGATATTCTGTAACCCCGTAAGAGGCTACTAGCAGGATCGGGTGGTCAGGCTCACTGACTTGGTTGACACATGTCAATGTATTCCAACTGCATAGATTGATGCTCATGCTGTTTGGTCACTGGATTGCCTGGTCCAGACTTCAATATTTACAGACCGCCACAATATGACTCATTCACTCAAAACTGGTGCAAACATGAAGATCTGATTTTAATGACATTGATTCAAGGTCTGTTAGTGATATTGAGAGAACAAGTCAGAACGAGTGCTACATTTTGTATATCTTAGTTTGATAGTTTAAGCGTTCGAGTTGAAAAACAGTGAGAGGGAAAATGATTTTTGTCATATTTGTCCATGTGCCGAGAGACATACCATGCCTTTCTAACTGCATGTGTATTATTTTACAAGTATTTGAATATGTGCATAGCAACCAAAGTTTTCAATATTGTTCATAGTTAGGCTGACATGCTGTCAAACTGTGCTCACGCTGGTTGATTATGTTGTAGATGTTCCGAGTCCCCCAGGGAAGCCGAGAATCCTCAACATTGAGTCGCGAGAAGTGAAGGTCACCTGGGACAAGAGTGCCTCGGATAACAACAGTCCTATATCTGTATACATACTCCATGTTAGGTGCGTAACTTTGGTATTAAAAGTATCATTAATACTTCACTCTTCAGGAGATTTTGTATGACTCAATAAAGACCCTCTGTTTTCCATGTGTATTTTTAGTGCACGTACCCATTTTGGGAGTTGACAGATTAGTGAAACAAGCTAACTAAACTAAGGTTGTGCTAGGCTTAGTGTATTAACGTTTTCAAATGTTCAGGAAACAAAGTTAGCAACAAACCGCGTACTACCTTTTTGGGTTGAAAGTTAAAGCAGCTTTATTGTACTTGAAGTAATGGGTGACGACATGTTTTTGGTTCCTTATTTTCACTTGGTTCATCAAGATCATAGGGTGTGAACATTGCTCATAATATCGATATTGACCACTGTTTTCCAAGCAAGATCATTTCCTGTCTATAGTGATACAGCTGGAATATGGTGACCATGACAAGGAACAACAGACTGGTTCACCTGACTAGATTATTTTCAGACCACTGTGATGTAGCTGGAATATGTCTGACTGTGACAGCTAACTGGTGATTATTTTCATGCATAACTGGAGCTACTGTGGCATCAAACAGCTAACTGGTTCACCTGACTAGATTACTTTCAGACCACTGTGATATAGCTGGAATATGTCTGACAGTGCCATCAAACAAAATAGCACTGATTGTCTGTTGTTCATGTTTTCAGTAAGTGCACAGCAACTCAAGGTCCCCCCGAGGAGCGGGATGTGGTGGTGGGAGGGTCAACACTGGAAATCACCGTGAGAGAGCTCAACCCTCACACCTGCTACCAGGTCAAGGCTCGGGCCAAGAATGCGGTTGGACGCAGCGAAGACAGTAGTTTCAGTGATATGTTTTTCACATTAGAAGAACGTAAGTATTGGATTGGGGGTGGGGGTGGGGTGGGGAGGTGAGATTTGTTGATTCAGAAATACTTTTGGAGATTCTTGAACATGTTGAAGATTTAAGATTTTGTTTTTCAACACAACTTCCCCTTGAGAAAAGACCAGTTTAGTTCTAATGCTGGAAGAGTTACCTCCCCTTCTGAGTATCATTCACAAAACGATCTTACTGCTACAATGATCGTAAGCTAGTGTTAAGTACAGGAGATAAGGTCACCTTAGCACTAAGATTGCTTTGTGGAATAGGGCCATGTCTGGAGTTGATATTTTTGTTGATCAGTTTACTTGATTACCATTACATCAACCATGAATCACCCACATCACCATCCAGTCCCAGGTCTTCATCATCCACACTACGTCTTACCTTTTTCATTATGACAAATTATTACCATTGGGTTTTCACATCACATATGTTAAAATGGGCATTCCATTCACTTCAAGTTGAGCTGACTCTGGTCAAAGTCTTGTGATCAGCAATCAGCCCTGTTGATGCCACTTTTCTCATAGCGTCTGAATCTCACTGGAAATAATGCAGAAAGACAATGAGACTTGAAAATTCAGTAGTTTGGGGCATGGTTTATAAGACCTTGTTGATCTTGCTCCAGCACCCTCTGAACCCCCGTTCAACGTGAAGGCCGACAGTCCGGACAGCACCGAGGTTCATGTCAAGTGGAGCCACATACCCAAGAATAAGCTGAATGGGGAACTGAAGGGGTATGAGTTGTCCTACAAGGCCCAGGGTGGGCAGCCGGAGAGAGTTCGTCTTGAGGACCCAACCAGACATGTAAGTCAACAGAGAATATTCACAGTCAGTGTAGTTTATGTGTTCACACTATACTTAATCACTGCATTTTTAGCCACAGGGCTGTGATCAGTGTGTTACATGCTTCAAACAGTCTAACCTAACCTAGTCTAATGTCGAATATAGTACAAATGTTAGAATCAGTGAGTTTAGTTTTACGCTGCTTTTAGCAATATTCAAGTAATATCACGGCAGAGGGACACCAGAAATGGGTTCACATATTGTACCCATGTGGGAATTGAACCTGGGGCTTCGGGTGTGACAAGTGAACACTTTAACCATTAGGCTACCCACTGCCCCTACACATGTTCCGATCTGATTGTCAATCTAAGTATACTAGAAACACAGTTTAGATATTTCAGGGTTTAGATCAGTTTAGATTTGTTAGCCTGTAGGGATGCTGGGTTAGAACAGGTCATGTAATGTGGTCAGCTTTGGCGACTTGCTAAATTGCAGGGACCGTATACACAAAGTGTTTGTAGCACCACACCATTCTTTAACCTATAGTAAGTATAGATTTACAGCCCTTTCATGGTGCGAGTGTTCAGGATTCGTCATTGGTTGCAAACAGATTTAGTTGTGCAATCAGCGACGTTGTTTCAATAGTGATCATTCGCAAGGCCTCGGTAATTTCCGTATGCATCGGGAAAACTAGAACCTCTTCCCCTGCGCGATGCGCAAACGTTTCTTATAGACAGAACTCAGTCATGTAATGGCGGAGCAATGGCATCTCCATCGCCCTCGTTGACAATGGACAAGCTAGCCATTAAATGTCTTGTGTGTCACATCAACACAATTCCCTGCTGATGAGGGACATTTGTGGCCCCACATTTGTTTGTATTAGTCAAGCTGGATCTAAGTCGACGTTACACGTGCTCTGATTGGATAAAAAGAAGGGAGATAATTCGTGTTGCGACTTTCTGCCGCTAGGGGATTTTACGAGAACCGGGAAATATGGCCGTATTAGAACAGAGGTTCGTAGGAAGATATGACAAGTAACCTCTGTGGGAAGAGAATGGCGGTCAAATTGTCTGGTCCAGACTACTGCCATGTAGCTGGAATATTGCTGAGTGCAGCGTAAAACTAAACTCACTCACTCACTTAATCAATAATCTTGAACATAAAAATATTTGTCATTACCACAATGGCTCAATCTTCTGAAACATGTTTAATATTTTGAAACATGATTGCCTATTGGAGTACTCATGATCTGGATGAAAGATGGTGACTTAAAGACATTTCAATTTAAATCTATTTAGTGATGTTTTGTGTACACTGTTTGAAATGTCTGAATGTATTACAGAACATGGTGCTGTATGGACTGAAGCCTTTCACAAAGTATGAGATTCAGCTGACGGCATACAACAGTGTCGGTTCTGGGCCCCCAGCTAATGTGACTGTCCGAACAGCTGAAGGCGGTAAGTTTTTCTGTAGCTACCCAATCAAAATCCAGAATTTATTAACTATCTATATTATTATGTGGATATTTATATAGCGCACATATCCACGCAACTAGTGCATGCTGGTATTTTTTTCCCTCGATCAATGGATGTCAATCTCAAAGGTACATTGTATTTTCAATCATTCTTTTCAATTTTAGTTAAGCCTCAAATGACATCCATTGCATGCAGTCAAAGTCCTTCTTTGTCCATACTAAATCTGACCATTCTCCCTACAATTTTGACTATCCAAGTCCTTCTTTGCCCACACTCAATCTAACTGTTTTTGTTTCAGTTCCAAGTAAGCCTCGAATCACACACATCACCAACCGAATGTCCAAGTCCTTCTTTGTACACTGGGAACCACCCAAAATTCTAAACGGCCGCCTGGAGAAGTATGAGCTGCAGTGGAGCTACAACAGCAGCTCAGCAACTCGCATCATACAGGGGGACCTCAACAACCCAATGTCCGCTTTCATCAGAAATCTAGGTTAGTAGGGGAGCTCCTGTATATAATTTACAAACAGTTTGGACTTTCATCAGTGAACACTACATGGATTCCAGGACTGGATAGTTTCTCAGTATCCTACTGCATATGTATACATGTCTGTATGGACAACGACTTCTTTTTATTCTTTTCATGACGTTTCAGAGCTAATTCATCTGATGAAACCGCCTCCGTGGTGTAGTGGTTAGAGCGTCCGCCCGGAGAGCGGAAGGTCGCGGGTTTGATCCCCGACCGCGTCATACCAAAAGACGTTAAAATATGGTACTTGTTGGTCCCTGCCTGGCGCTCGGCATTAATAGGTACAACAAGGACTGGTCGGCTCGGAGTCAGTATAATGTGTCTGAGTGGGGTATTCATGCTTCACTGCAGCATGGTATCTCAGTGAGCTAGCACTATAAACCCAGCTTAAGTCTGGGCTAGTACAAGCAGCCGCACATACACATACACACGTATGCCCATCGTCATATGAGCGAAATATTCTCAAGCACGACGTTAAAACCCAATTTCACCTCACCTCATCTGATGAAGGATCAACAATTAGCTCTGAGAGAATAAAAAGAAGTTGTTATCCATAAAAACGCATCATGTATTCATGTTCGTTCAACTTAAATGCCTTTCAAGATCTTGATCCTACTACATAATTCAGATGGATACAATCTGTAATCAAACTAAGTTTTGTTGTGTTGTGATTGAGACTTTTGTTGTCTTGCACTGTGAAGCAATGTCCATATGTGACTATTTGCAGACCACTTTGATTTTAATGACTTCTTTAATGACTGTATATCTTTCAAAGATTCATAACAGAATGACATATGATGAAGGAAATTTGTTTTGTGTCATACTGATTTCCATTTTAAGCCTATTGAATCCTTCAAACGTTTCACATATAAATGCCTTTGTATCTGTGTGATGGGAAAGAGCGAGTCATGTATTTTACCATCACTAATTTGTGTGTATCAATTCCAGAGCCCTACACAGAATACAAGATCCGAGTGGCTGCCTACACTGGGGGTGGCAAGGGAAAGTTCAGTGACGACTTTCCTGGCATCACGGATGTGGAGGGTGAGCTTTCATTTCTCAAACAGATCTGGGTTAAAATTGGACTCCAGCAACCCATGCTTTTTGTAAGAGGCGAATAATAGGATAGGGTGGTCAAGCTCTCTGGCTTTTTTGACACATGTCATCGTATCCCAATTGTGTAGATCGATGTTCCTGCTGTTGATCACTGGTTTGTCTGGTCCAGACTCGATATAGCTGGAATATTTCTGAGAGCAGCGTTAAAACAACAATCTTTTCTCAAACAACTATGTCTGTGGAGGGATGATGCAGCAAAATGCACTATACACTCACCCCGAACAGAGACTGTCAAAGCAGAACTTCCCTGTTACAAATGCTGATGTTTTTTGTATCTGTCTTGAAGCACATTCCGAAGGAGAATTCCCATAGATAATTGAGAATGCCCTTTGGAATTTGTGTACTATAAGTTGCATACCCCCTGTACCATAGCTTCTTGAGGAGGGCTGGGATGATTCGCCGATGAACCGATACATCACGATACATTTAAGTTTGATAGAGCTATCGTATTGTCGACTTTTTTCAAAACAGTATTGTCTTAAACATGTTACAGTACATATTTAGAGAAAAATACACAAGTATGATAGAGTTACTTGTTTGTTTATTACAATAATGTTATTGTTATACACAAATACCTTGAAATAAATCATTTTAAATCTTAATAATGTGTCATTCTTTAAAGGTGTATGTATCGCGATACGTATCGTATCGCAGGTAAAATATCGCGATACGTATCATATCATGACAGTGTATCGTCCCAGCCCTATTCTTGAGTATAGATCACATTTTGTATCTGGTTCATGGCATCAGAATTCTTTGAATTTCAATTATTAGGCACTTTTTAAACAAACCACCTGTTTGTCTGGCAGAAAATGTGCAGATGATTGATGTTTCTGGCTTAGTTTCCATGGTTACGTCAATTTCTACTTAACCTTCAGTCCCCAGTACCTATATACAGATATATCATGACATCCTTGCTGTGTACTGACTAGCACCGCTTGTGTTTACAGGTCCCAGTGCCCCATACATCACCAACTTCACCGTGGTGGGGCTGGACAGTGTGTTTATACAGTGGGAACCCCCAGATGTCTTCTACAAGACCATCAACAACTACTTCATCAAGTGGTGGGATGTGGTGGAAACCTCCTACTACGAGGACGAGCTTATCGACGGAACTTCAACAGAGGTAGCTCATCTTCTTTCTTACACTAGTTCTCTTCAGATTCCTCGCTTTGTACACCTGTGAAGATCCGGTTTAGGATTGATCTTCAGTAACCCATGTTTGTTGTAAGAGGCGACTAACAGGATCGGGTGGTCAGGCTCGCTGACTTGGTTGACACATGTCATCGTATCCCAATTCCGTAGATCGATGCTCATGAAGCTGATCACTGGATTGTCTGGTACAGACTCGATTATTTACAGACCATTGGCATATTGATGGAATATTGCTGAGTGCGGCGTTAAACAACAAACCAACCAACCAACAACCTGGCTTGTAATGCGACCCTGTTGTGTGAATCTGATAGTAGTACATAGTCAAAACTACTTGTGAAGATCTGGGTTCAGCAACCCATTCTTGAAGTAAGAGGCAACTCAAGGGATCAGTGGTCAGGCTGGCAGACTTGGTTTACAGGTCCTTGTATCCCTATAGCGAATATTGATGCTCATGCTGTTGATCACCGGATTGTTTGGTCCAGATTATTTATTTATTTATTGCAGCATTAAGCAAGAAACAAGCTATAATTTCTCAAAGAAATATCTCTGGAGCTGTTGATGCAGCAAAATGCACTCACTCACTCACCCAAAAAGAGATTGTCAAAGGTCAAAGCAGAACACAAACAGTGGTCATCACTGATTTTTAAAATACCTTCAATTTTGTTAAAAATTTGTGGTTTTGTTTAAGTTTATATTATCTTAAACTCAGAGGTATTTTAACATTGTCAGATGAAGCATGAAAAACTCTTAAGTGTGTGATCAGTGAAACTGGGTCAAATGACCGCCTCTCGCCAGGTTTAGTTGTGTCCCTGGTAGATGTTGATGACTTGCCCTGTTGCGGACCTTGTCCACCACAGGTTTCCATGGCCAAACTTGATGATTACCAGGCTAACTTGGCAACATTCACCCACCCAGGTGAAGTGGGCCAAGATGACAGACTTACCCACTTCGTAACTTTTATGTATTGTTAATGTCTGAACATTTTATGAAGATTGTATTTCTAAAATGTATTTATGTTTTGTGTAGACAACTCTAACAGATTTACCCAAAAATGGCCATTACCGCTTGAAGATAGCCGGCGTTACACACGGGATCTTCAGCAAGACGCACTATGTTGGAGAGTTCACCGAGGCGACAGAGTTCACGCCCGGAGGTATGAGGACACTGCTCCCCCGACAACTAATAATGATAACACAGTGCCTGCATATTACAAGCTTGTAAAAAGCTGGATACTTTATTTGCTGTCGTAACCATTTTGTTCAAATGAAGGCTTTGTGCTGCTCATGTAGACGATTCTGGAATTGTGCATAAAATAATACTATGCATGTGATACTCTCATATCTCCAATCTGAATAACCGTTATAGTAAAGTTATAGCAAATTTATAGTAAAGAAAGCCTATATCATTTTTAGACAGACTATCCAGAAACTAATATTGTAGAAAAATATTTATACATATTCTAAAACTGGCATGATCATTCATTCATTCATTCATTCATTCATTCATTCATTCATTCATTCATTCATTCATTCTAAGATACCCCGTTTCAAACATTTTTACCAAATGAATGCTGTTTCCAATGATTTATAAATTTACAAACTTTTGAAAAGGATGAAAGTAATTGGGAAAGGAAGTAATTATGTTCAAAATTGCAAATAAAACCATTGGAGACACATTCATTCATTCATTCAATCTTTCATTCATTCATTCATTCATTCAATCTTTTATTCATTCATTCATTCATTCATTCATTCAATCAATCTTTTATTCATTCATTCATTCATTCATTCTACTACCAGCATCTTGTGACATCCTGATTACATGACTATCACCACTGTTTCCCCTCCTCCACATCCATCTGTCTCTCTGCTAATCTGTAGTGTGAAACCAGTGGTCTTTTATGCTTTATAGGGAGTCAGTCTGATATTTCACGTGGTGTCGTGGATACGGAGATTATTCGAGACCATGGTAGGTGGATGTTGTGAGGTATTGTCTGGTCCACACTGTGATATGTTGGTAGTCACCCTCGATATGCCATGATTCAGTCCTAGGTGGATGTCGTACACCATTGGATGGTCACAGTTATTTTCGTCACGGTTTTGCTAACCCCACAGTACAGGTTTTTCTTCCCATTCATCCTCAAAACCATTTGTTTTTGCCATGTTCCAGTATTATCAAACCAGGCACTTAGGTTGTCAAGGATTCGGCAAGAACGAGAAAAAAGTTCCATAGGTATTCTAGGTTAGAAAAGTTTGGTCATGTTTGTTTTGACCTGATTAATTGATGCTCATATCATCGATCACCTGGTTGTATGGTCCAGAATCGGCCATTTACAGATCCATGTCATATAGTTGGAATATTTCTTAGTGTTGTGCTAAACAAGCTAACTTACAAATTCAAGAATTCCTCTAAACTTTGGGCAGATATTCATATATGCCTAAGCAGAGCTTGATATTACATCTTAATACTTTCGCTCTGCACAGGCGGTGGGGTAGCCTAGTGGTTATAGTGTTTGCTCATCATGCCGAACATCCAGGTTTGATTCCCCACATGGGTACAATGTGTGAAGCCTCATTTCTGGTGTTCCCCGCCATGATATTGCTGGAATATTGTTTAAGGCGGTGTAAAACCAAACTCAGTCAGTCTCACTCTGCTCAAGACAACCTTGAATCTCATTGTGTAACCTGGGAAATTTTATAGCCACTAAATTGGTGCCCAGCATTGGACAAAATATGTTCTTGATACATCTGAGAGCAATACATTTCCTTGTACCCTACTGTGTTCTAGATGTAGGTTGTACAATGTATCCCACAGACAACTTGTTAGCTTGTTGGTCTTGTGGATCAGGTCCAAGTCTTGGGACGCTGTCAAGCTAGAAACAAGTCGACCATGTTACTGATCCCCCTTTCCAATAACACCCTTTAACAACAAGGAATAAACAATATGGTTTTGAGGATGTTTTTTGTTGCATTTAGACATGGGTCCACTGCCCTCATTTTGCTGATCTAATCAGAGTTTTTGAGTATTATGCCATGGTTTCTTATAAGAAATGTTGAATTACGCTTTTAGACAGACATAGTATTTCAAAAACAGTAACTGACTGAGGCCTCTTCCACAAAGTGATGCTTACGTTGAGATGATCGTAACTCTCTGACTTAAGCAGTGACTTACGACTGTTGTGCTAACATCACTTTGTGGAACAGGGCCCTGAGCAGGAGGAAATAATTTTCTGCTCAAGGTGAAAAATATATTAGCATGCTTAAACATGTATTACAAATTATTGATTTAAAATATGTCCATGGATCCATTGCTATAGTGTCACAGAGAGGAGGAAGAATCTGTACTAGACAACAGTTTGCATGGTGTTTGTGTTACAATGGCACTAGTTGTCCTCTAGCACCACTAGTCGTAGCCCATGTCTTGCTGTAGACCTGTAGTGTTTCCTGGGAAACAGTTTCCTCAGTTTTAGATTCTTTTTCTTGGGTTTTCAGTAGTGTTGGGCCTTGTGTTGGAGATTTGTTTCTTTTCTTTTAGTGGTAGGATGGTTTATCATCATCTTTCCGCTTTATAGTGCACAGATTTGTTTCTTAATCTAATTACCCCGGTTGATTGTTTGTACATCTGAGAAATCATCCCCAATTTTGCAGCATATTTTATCACAAAGTTTGAACTGTTTGAATAAAGACAGATTCTCAAAATTTTACTTCAGTTTTAATTTATTGAGATGAGTTGGACATTTAAGTGTCTTTGGTATACTTTGCACAGTTTGAGAAACATGGAATTATCGACAACATATTTCAGATACTTTCAGGTATTAACATACACTTATAAAACAAAACTGAACAAAATGACTGTACAGCTGTGTACGAAGTTGGGATGTTACTACAGCTCGCGTTAATACGAAGACATGTGTTTCCTGAATGTTGGTGCATGTACTGTTTATTATTGGTAGTGCCTGTCCTCTTGTTGTGCTTCAAGCTGACTTATCAAAATCTCTCTGATCTTTATCATCATCCATTGTTGTCATGCCTCATTGAAGTATTTAGATGTCTTGCATGTTGAATCCAGGATATTAGTGCCAGGCTCACCGTACTGTCGAGGTGTTTCAAACATTTAGGGCCCTGTTACATTCAGTGATCTTGATGCAGACTGCCACTTCATGCCGACACAATGTTGGACTGTTGGAATTTATCCTTGTCCAGTTGCCTGAACTTAAAGAAAATAACAAAATGTTTCTCATCGTTATGTTGAAAAGGTCAAGGTGACAAACATTCTCCTTGTAACCTTGTTTGTCATCATTATGTTGAAAAGGTCAAGGTTACAAACATTCTTGTAACCTTGTTTGTCATCATTATGTTGAAAAGGTCAAGGTTATAAACATTCTCCTTGTAACCTTGATTGTCATCATTATGTTGAAAAGGTCAAGGTTACAAACATTCTCCTCGTAACCTTTTTAGTCATCATTATGTTGAAAAGGTCAAGGTTACAAACATTCTCCTTGTAACATTGATTGTCATCGTTATGTTGAAAAGGTCAAGGTTACAAACATTCTCCTTGTAACCTGGCCAGCTTTTTCATTTGTATAATTTGTATTAGGATCAAACCTATTAACAGACATAGCCCAAAATGTTTGAGGCCTATTTTTGATGACCAGAATGATGATGAGAAACATATTGAGTTTTCTTTGCCTGAGTTCGTTCCCTGTGTCACAGTGTGTTCCGCTTCAGCTCAGCTGTTTTAAACATAGGTTATAGCATATGACCTATGACAGTTGTAGTGCTGTGATTGCATTGTGAAATGTTGCACAGACTCATAGACTACTCACAGACTGCTGGCTTGTGTTGATGAAGTGGCTTGATGCTGGGACTGCTTTGTGAAACAAGGCCATTGAAGGAAAACATTTTGAAAGAGCATCATCACTACTTTACGGTTTTGTATACAGATGTAGATGAGGCCTGACTGCGCGAACATTGTGCTGGGAAACATTTAATGCACAAAAAATAAACAAGATGGCGTCAAGGCTATTGTACATACTGCACAGATTGAGGGAGTTCGTGAGTTTAGTTTACGCAACTTTTAGCAATATTCCAACAATATCATGGCGGGGGACACCAAAAATGGACTTTTCATATTTTGTACCCATGTGGGGAATCAAATCAATGTTCGCTTGACTCATTGGTTAAATAACGACTACACTGCGAACTGATCCTATGTATTTGCACGTGATACGGGATGGTGGGGTGGCCTCGTGGTTAAAGTGTTCCATCCCACTAAATTCCTGGGTTTGATTCCCCAAATGGGTACAATGTGTGAAAAAACCCATTTCTGGTGGTTTCCCCCCCCATGATATTACTGAAATATTGCTTGCAGTGTAAAACCATGCTCACTCACAAATGATTGGTGGCGTTGGGGTGGCCTTGTGGTTTTCCACAGTGGTATAATTTGTGATGCTCATTTCTGGTGTCTCCCCACGTGGTCTTTCTGGAATATTGCTTAAAAATGGCGTAAAACAATGCTCACTCACTCATACGTGATCCAGGAACTTGGTGTATACAAACCGATGAAATATTGATGTGTGCAATTTGACCACCAAGGTTCGAAATATTAGTCAAACATTAGACATGAATATCCTGGATTAAACATTGTTGTATGAAGTATTTTACTCAACTGAGAGTAACCTGTCATGTCTTCCTTCTCAAGGCCACTATGCAAGTGAGTATACGTACATGTTGTCATCACTCACATGGTAATGGGCTGTCATTGACAATCATTCTGCACATTTCATCACTTGTTGATAACAGAGGAGGTTGACATCAAGAGACTGTATAGCTAATCTGGCCAATAAACCATATTAATCTCATTGAAATCAAATCTTTTACTCCAGTATCTTACTTCTGTTTAAAGAGGGGCAGTGGGAGCCTAGTGGTTTAAGTGTTCGCTTGTCACCCCGAAGACCCGGGTTCCATTCCCTACATGGGTACAATGTGTGAAGCCCAGTTCTGTATACCCTCTGTGATATTGCTGGAATATTGCTAAAAGCGGCATGGAACTAAACTCACTCACTCACTAGTGGTTAAAGCATTTGCTTGACACGCTGACCTGCAGCATATAATGAAGGAAGAACTTCAGAAAAAAATTAACTTATCAATAACTTTGAATTTTAAGAAAATTTAGGGTCCATATTCAGATTTTTATTCAAAGACATGGACCTTGGTTGCACAAAGTGACTGAGTATTTGAGTAGTTGGAACTCACAAGCTTTAATGCACATTACTGTCCATTGCTAAGACCACTACGTGCAGATGGGCCCAGCAGAATTCAATTATACAGTATCAACTCATATCGTCTAATGTTAAGTCGATGTCATTTCCTTGAATGGGTTCAATCTGTGAAGCCTACTTTTGATGTCACCAAGCCAGATATTGCCGGAATATTTGTAGAAAGTAGTGTAAAGCCATCACTCACTCACTCATTCATGAAATCAAATGTAGATATCTGCTTTATGTCAACTTCCTCCAAATCACTCTGTCACCAGTGTCATTCATTGTTTTTCAAGATAGTGATTTTCAACACCTTTTTGGATTCACATAATTCGGGATCTGTCTTTTCATAGTTATGGCCATTGTTTTTTCAGCATCTGAATAACTCTCTTGTCTTTTGTAACGTTCTGTAGACGATAAACGCTAATTAATACCAAGCTGAATGTTTTGCCTTCCTTGGGCAAAGATTACGGGATAGAAGTAGTCATAACTTTAAATTATATTTATTGCATCAATGTTTCAGATATAATTTAGCTTTTGAGTGGATTATGGAATTAGAGATTAAGAATATGTTGAACTTTATCGATAACATGTTCTGATTTATTGCCTTTTGTATTGTTTTAATGTTGAATCTTACAGTGTTATTAAACTTAAATGGAATGGAAACATCAGATAATATATCTTTAAGTGGATTATAAGATTAAGGATAATGCACAATATAGTTTTTAATAAGTGGATTATAAGATTAAGGATAATGCACAATATAGTTTTTAAGTGTATTTATTTAGAAGTGTCACGTATAGTAGTGTTCTTTATTTCTAGATATTAGCAGCTTTAGGTGTACTTTTCTGTTTGATGTTTAGATTTTTTTTTTTTAACTTATCTGTTAGAAGTTTTGACCACTTTTATATTTTATGAAAATCTCAGAAATTTTAGGACATATTGACAACTACCATTGTCGTATTTAAAATTATTTGTGACAAAATAGTCTTCTTTATATTGAAATGTCCTGTTTGTTAAAATTATTTAAAAAAAAAAGATTATTTATAAACTTGAAAAATAACTGTAAATGAATTTTGTTTGTTTCTGAAAGAAGAGTACAGAAAAGCATTTATTGTAGTATCAGTCAGGTTGATGGTGTTGAAAAATATTATCTGGTAACTTTGTGTGTGAGTTATATATGTGTAATAGGTTATAACATGATTGCAATGGACATGAGACCAGAGATGACTGTCATGCACAGGTAGAGTTGTCACGATGTATGGTTGTCATGGCAATGTTTTAACAGATCCCGAGATGGAAAGTGCCAAGAATAAGGAAGTGGTTATGTCTGCTGGGGTCATCGCAGGTGTCATCATTGCAATTCTCATCAGCCTCGTCATCGTCATCATCTTTGTTGGATATAGGTAAGAAATATTCATGTTTTAATCACAAATTTTTATTAAATATTTTATCCCTTTTTGTGACATGATCAAGGTTTAAATATATTCAATTACATTTTCATTTTTATTTTCAGTATATTAAGATCTCGTATTTTCAAGTAGATTGAAGTATATCAGTATTACATAAAAGTCGACCCATGAAGATTCGGGTTAGAATTGATCTTCAGTAACCCATGCTTGTCATAACAGGCGACCAACGGGATCGGGTGGTCAGGCTTGCTGACTTGGTTGACACAGGTCATCGGTTCCCAATTGCATAGATCGATGCTCATCATGTTGATCACGTAATTGTCTGGTCCAGACTCGATTATTTACAGACCGCTGCCATATAGCTGGAATATTGCTGAGTGTGGTGTTAAGCAACCATCAAACCAAACCACAACCCACCGTAGTGATTGTCATTCACGGTGACTAAACTTGATCTGGTGGCGAAATCATTCACTTGGCTGCTTGCATGTTCTACTCTGATAATGCTAACATTGCTCATACTATCACTCACTGGATTCGTTGGCGCAGACTGGAGTATTTATGGGCTGTGCTGATATAACTGGAATTTACTGAGTGCAGAATCGATGAACAGACTAACTAAAAATAGTTCTGTTACCGGAAAGAACAGTATGCATCTAAGTGAGATGTACCTAGAACATTGACTTCAGTATACAAATTAAACAATACAAAGAAATTAAGGCGATTTTACATTATTGTCGTGTTTTTTTTCATTTCAGGTCATTTGCGTGTAGGAAATGTTACCAAGCAGCATATTACTACCTGGCTGTTCCCAGCAACTCCCAGTCAACACCGCCGACTGTCGTCACTGTTGCCGAGCCTGCAGGTATAGCATTCACAATAAACTGGCACTACAGACCATATTTGCTGTTTAACCCATTCAACACCGTAGGCCGGAAAAACGGCCAAGACGTCACCAGTCCCCAGACACCGTAGGCCGGAAAACCGGCCAGGCAGTAGTCGCATCAAAATGATATATAATTTTAGGAACCTAACTAACATATGATTCTTTTATCAAATCTATCACTTTTCACAATGTCTGAAAACACTTATTAAATTTCAAATGACCATATATTATCGACAGGATTAGAATTATAAACTATTTTTTTGCAATGTAATTGAAAAAAACAATTCTCGGACACATGCTTTGGCAGCGGGTCCACAATAACATTGTCAAAGAGCAAAGTAACAATGTTTCGAGGAAATCATTAAATAAATTGACTAAACTAATGGTGGTGGTGGAATTGGGTTTAACGTCGTGCTTGAGAATATTTCGCTCATATAACGACGTGCATGCGTGTATATGTGTATGTGCGGCAGCTTGTACTAGCCCAGACTGAAGCTGGTTTTATAGTGCTAGCCCACTGAGATACCATGCCGCAGTGAAGCATGAATACCCCACTCAGACACATTATACTGACTCCGAGCCGACCAGTCCTTGTTGTACCCATTAATACCGAGCGCCTGGCAGGGACCAACAAGTACCATATTTTAACGTCTTTTGGTATGATGCGGTCAGGGATCGAACCCGCGACCTTCCGTACTCCGGGCGGACGCCTAACCACTACACCACGGAGGCGGTCGACTAAACTAATGATGAAAATCAACAACAGCATTCATAAAAGATGTCAAACGTACATATAAAATTACTATTTCCATCTTTTTGTGCGTAATGTAAGTCAAGTCACTGACAAGTGACATCTCGGCTCTCGCCGCCTCAATCTTCACACTCTGACACGATGTTTCATGCAAAAATATATGCATGAAGCATTTTTGTCACAAGTCATAACCTAGCACGATACGTCCAATAAGTTCCATAATTTACATATAGGTAGCGATTTCTTGCCCAATATGTTAAAAATAGCATTATTTTACCCAAAACTTTAGTCTAAATCTAAAAGTTTTCGTTTACGAGGACGGTATCCATTGCCGTAATATGATTGGCTGCCTTAGGTCACGTTGATTTTGACCAATCACGACCCTTATAGCAGACTGTGGCGAAAAAGCGTCATTAGAAACCAATCTTTGTCCAATAAAATCGCTTCTTACAACCGTGAAAATACTCTCGGCAAGGGTACAGTGATGTTGTTGATGTTCAGAACTTTCGAACGATACCCGACATAAAACAATTCGCCTCCCATGTTATTCATACAAAGCTTCGAAAACGGAGGTATTTTCCGTTGTTGTGTCATGTTACCGAGCGGAAAGCCACTGATATCGGGATATAGGCGACCATACATATTATTTAAGAAATCTTTTTATAATAATTTTCTGATTACGTAAAATGAAAATATAAAAGAAAAAGGCACGGCCATGTTATGACATGTCACAAATGGAAAAAAATCGCCATAGTTTTTGCTTCTTTCGTGGTTTATCTGGACATTATAAATGTAAGCTTGCATTTTCATTACAAAAATAAATCTATTTAAGTTGTAGTTGTATTATTTGAATAACATTATAAAAATAAACTTCCTATTTATCAACAGTGGGATTAGATCTTTTAAATGGTGTATGAGATGTAGTAGCAATAACGTTTTACAAGCTTATAATTTCCTTCATAAACATAGGCTTTATCTGTGACCTTAGAGTCTCTGGGAACTCAGTGTCATGGCAGTAAATGCCTCTGGTTGACTGGTGTTGAAAGAGTTAAACACCTCCCCTGACTGTCTTCTAAACAAATCTGTAATTAATTGTAATAAATGCCCCATACTAAGCTAAAAAATGTGACAGACCATATTTTCTATTGTGTGCTGCAGATGTTTTACATGTAACAAAACAGTGTTTAAAGAGTATAATTGTCTCATAATGATTATCACAAATGAGCTCGCCCATATTTGGACAAAGTTTCTTCTCTACTGTTCAATCTCTAAGTAGAATTATAACTTGTTTTGCATGGTTAATATGAATTTACTGGCAAGATGGTGAAGGGGAGATAACTTTGTAAAGTTAAGGTTATCTCCCCCTGATTGTGATTTATTAACTATGAGATCATGCACAATATTCCTGTCGAAATCACAATGGCCATCTATTTTACATGTGTATACATGTAGACAATTTACAATTTCTCGCTTTCTTTGGGCTTGTGGCAGCGACTGATTTAAAGAGCGAATGATTAAGAGATAACATTTTATATGACTAGGTGGTGTTGGAATGAAAATAAAAATTGGGGGGGGGGGGCAATAAAATTAGAAGGGTTGGTCGGGTGATGAGAAACCCAGAAAATAAAAATGCGGCCCAATTTGAATATGCAAGAGAGGACAGTTTTTATGTCAATAGTGAAAGGCAGACATTTCTTTTTCCAATTATATAAAAGTCTTGATTTATGTTTTATGTTTGACAAACATTTTAGAATTATGGTATGCATTGAGATGTACTCTTGTTTCAGATGAGAAGGTTTACCCTGAAGTTACAGTAAAGGAGTTCATCCACCATGTGGAAACTTTGCATGCTGACTCCGACATTGGCTTCTCTCAGGAATTTGATGTAAGAAAGAATCAGCATCGCTTGTGGTACACTGTGTCTGTCCACATCACTGCTGGGGGTCTGATCGTAAAGATCGGAGGTAGAATTGGTCTTCAGCAACCCATGGGGGCGGTGGGGTAGCCTAGTGGTTAAAGTGTTCGCTCGTCACGCCGAAGACCCAGGCTCGAACCTCCACATGGGTACAATGTGTGAAGCCCATTTCTGGTGTCCCCCGCCGTGATGTTGCTGAAATATTGCTAAAAGCGGCGTAAAACCAAACTCAGTCAGTCAGTTCAGCAACCCATGCTTGTCGTAAGAGGCGACTAACAGGATTGGTTGGTCAGGCTCGCTGACTTGGTTGACACATGTCATCGTGTCCCATTTGCGTAGATCGATGCTCATGTTGTTGATCACTGGATTGTCTGGTCCAGACTCGATTATTTACAGACCGCCGTCATATAGCTGGAATACTGCTGAGTGCGGCGTAAAACTAAACTCACTCACTGCTGGGAGTCTGGGTTAGAACGAGAATCTATTTAAGTTGTTAATGGTGGTTGAATACATTGGGTGGTCAGGCTCAGTGATGTAATTGTTTCTGTGTCATCAGACCCAACGTCAAGAGTTGTTGCTCACTATATTAATCATTGGCTTGTTTGGTCCAGATTTGATTATTCAGAGGTCACTGCCAGATAGCTGGAATGATTCTGAATAAAAGTAAATTGTAGAAAACAACACACTTGTACAGTCGGATACTAGTTTCTCCTCAGTCAGCACTTGGACATCCCCTGTATGGATTTTGGGTCTGACAAGGTCCCTTGTTCCTCGTGCTTCTTGTCAGATCAAACAAAGATGTCTCCATCAGTGTGATCTTGTTGATTGGATATCATTGTATCTAGGTTGTATACAATCAGTATTTTGCATGGCCCAGATTATATTATCTACACTCCCTCGCCAAGTCTTAGACCTGGGATAGATTCCCCATATGTGGAATGTGTCAAGATATTGCTGGAATATGCTACTGTGGCTAAAAACCACACTCACTCACCCATTGACTCACTCCCTCGATTTGTCTCACCATTTTCAGGACATCAACAAGAATACCAATGTAGATTTCCGATGTGAGAGTTCCTGCCTACCCGAGAATCGTGGAAAGAACAGATACATCAACATAGCTGCATGTAAGCATACCATGAAACAAGCTTCATACCATTTTTTATTAGAGTTTCTACAGAGGTCTAACAAGCAATTTAGTAGGTAGAATATCATGGTTGATGTATGCGAGGATCAAATGGTTATTATGAGAACCATATTTCCCTCAGTTTCATGCTTTTTAAAAAATAAGTACAGCTATGTAATTAGGTTGGTGAAAAAAATGAGTTTAGGTGTTTTTCCTGGACACAACCATCTTACCTTGAGCTATGACAACAGAAATACACTGTCAACAAATCCGTACTGAAGTACGCAAGCTGGTCCTTTTATTCAACCAAGTGTCATTTGAAGTATTCAATGTGTCTACCTACCTGACTGTATTTCCTAATGTGAGACACGACTGATACTTTCTGTGTTCTATTCTGTTCACACTGCTAATTGTTTCCATCTTGTTTTCAGTTGACCACTCGCGAGTCGTGTTGAAGACGGAACTGGGCAGACTCCGCCATTCTGATTACATCAATGCAAACTATATCGATGTAAGTAGATTGGTGCTCATGCTGTCAACCACTGGTTTGTGTGGTCCAGACTCAGTAATCTGATGGACATGGTTTTAATATTGCTGATCTCGAATCAAAATATTGATTTACTTCAGTGAGTATTTTGGTCTTTTTTCTAATATATGGGGCGGTAGTTAAAGCCTTTTGTCATGCAAAGGCCCGGGTTCGATTCCCCACATGGGTACAATGTGTGAAGCCCATTTCTTGTGTTCCCCACCATGATATTGCTGGAATATTGCTAAAAGCGGTGTTAAACCATACTCACTGACTTTTGCAATTTATTCCAGGGTTACCAGAAGCCCAAAGCTTACATCGCCACTCAGGGACCATTGCCGCAGACGTTTGCCGACTTCTGGAGGATGATATGGGAACAAAACTGCAGCGTGATTGTCATGATAACCAACCTTATGGAGAGGGGGAGGGTAGGTACACTTTGGATCCAGACTAGTTCCCTTGCAACGTATGGTTGTGGTGGTGTGTGGTTTCCGTTGAAGTTGGTCATAGAGAGCCCTTGGATGGGTGACTGTGTTTGGCAGTTTGACTCGTGAGAGTTTCTAAGACTTCAGTCTTGCCCCACAACAAAGCACAGGTGACTCATGTGGTTTCAACATCGGCAAGTGAGTTTGTTCATAAACTGCCTTTGTTCACCCAGCAGAAAGTGGGTACCCGGTGGGATAAGTCATATGTCTAGTAACCTTCCAGCGGCTTGGGTTATCCAGGGTAACAATGTCAATGCAGCCTGGAGATCAGTGGCCCTATTATGGTTGTTGTTGTAGAGCTGCTTTGAGGACGCTTAAAATGTGTGACCTGGCTGATTGAGTGTCCTGGTACCTAATGATCATTGCTCATGCTATCGACCACTGGTTTGTTGATTCAGTGTTGATTAGTCACAGGCTGTGATATAGCTGGAATTAATGTTTACTGAATTCAGGATCAAACAGCAGTCTTTGTTTAAAAGAACAAGGATATCGATGTGCATGGTGGCTGTGTCATCATTTCCTGTCTTGCCTGAATGTATCATATTCCGAGCTGCTGATACCTGCAAAATTACTGATGTAGCGTTAAGCAATATTAACTCATTCACTGTTTATTCCATTCACTGTTTAGAAATCAATATGACCTTCACATACATGTAAAATGCTCTACAGAATATCCCCTTTATAGTACTCTCTATGTATTCTCATAGAATATTCTCATATAATATCCTCCATATACCACTGTATAGTACTCTTAGTGTATTCACATAGAATATTCTCATATAATATCCTCCATATACCATTGTATAGTACTCTCTATGTATTCTCATAGAATATTCTCATATAATATCCTCCATATACCATTGTATAGTACTCTCTATGTATTCTCATAGAATATTCTCATATAATATCCTCCATATATCATTGTATAGTACTCTCTATGTATTCTCATAGAATATTCTCATATAATATCCTCCATATACCATTGTATAGTACTCTTAGTGTATTCTCATAGAATATTCTCATATAATATCCTCCATATACCATTGTATAGTACTCTTAGTGTATTCACATGGAGGGGTGGTGGGGTAGCCTAGTGACTAGAGCGTGTTATTGCTGGAATATTGCTAAAAGCGGCATAAAACTAAACTCACTCACTCACTTCAAGCTAAAGGACAGTGGGGTAGCCTTGTGGTTAAACCTGTGGCTCGTCACGTCGAAGACCCGGGTTCATTGGGTACAATGTGTGAAGCCCATTTCTGGTCTCCCCCACTGTGATATTACTGGAATATTGCTAAAAGTGGCGTAAAACCAAACTCACTCACTCAATCATGGATTATTCTCCATATAGTATTGTATGGTATTCTCTATGTTATAAACCGCCTCCGTGGTGTAGTGGTTAGAGCGTCCGCCCGGAGAGCGGAAGGTTGCGGGTTCGATCCCCGACCGCATCATACCAAAAGACGCTAAAATATGGTACTTGTTGGTCCCTGCCTGGTGCTTGGCATTAATGGGTACAACAAGGACTGGTCGGCTCGGAGTCAGTATAATGTGTCTGAGTGGGGTATTCATGCTTCACTGCGGCATGGTATCTCAGTGGGCTAGCACTATAAAACCAGCTTAAGTCTGGGCTAGTACAAGCAGCCGCACATACACATACACACGCATGCATGTCGTCATATGAGTGAAATATTCTCAAGCACGATGTAAAACCCAATTTCACCTCACCTCACCTCACCGCTATGTTATATTCCTCGTATAATATTCTCAAATGGTATTTTCAAAGTAATATTTTCTTAAAGTAAATATCCGTCATATTTTGTCTCTGTTTCCAGCGTAAATGTGACCAGTACTGGCCAGGCGATGGACTGGAGATCTACGGCAGCATGTCGGTCAAGCTGCTTAACACTATACAGAGGGCTCACTACACAGTGCGCGTATTTTCAGTGCGGAATATGAAGGTAAAAAAGGTATGCATGCCCTGCTCCGTGATGGCTGGCTTCGTGTTGGTTCTGTTCGCCTTTTCTTGAGTTCTTCACATCGGTTCATGTAAGATGCAACAGTTGTGGAGGTTGTCGCTTAACAACATGTTGATAGTCAGCTTTGGAGACCTGGAAATTGAAAAATTTGTTTATTCTTATTAGGTGGAAACAAACATTTTGGAACAAGAATAGTATATTTCTTATCAGGAAACTGTAACAGTTATGTCAATATATCTCGTTAATTGTTATGACAGGATGCAAAATTTGATGCAATATACCTCAGTCAACCTATAATATTTAGTGCTGAATAGGGCAATGGGGTTGCCTAGTGGTTATGGCATTCGCTTGTCACGCCAAAAATCTAGGTTTGATTCCCCACATGGGTACAATGTGTGAAGCCCATTTGTGGTGTCCCCTGCTGTGATATTGCTGGAATATTGCTAAAGGTGGCGTAAAACCAAACTCACCCTCTCGCTACTGCTGAATATTACTACAAAGACTGTACATGTGTACAATGTATAATTTAGTTGGATATATCAATTTGTAAGTGATCGTTGAATTCCTAATATAGTCTGTTCATCAGTTTCATGAACATGGGAAATCATTTGTTTTTAAGCGACACCTCTTGTTTAGTGTATATTGTCGTCACCCAATTTAATAGCATGTCTTTATGTTCCTTGTTTTAATCAGCACAGTATATTATTATTACATTTTAAATTTAAGATTTCAAAATTTTAATTCAAATTCAAATTTCATTTTGGCTTATTTGATAATATTTTGTCCTCTTGTCACCAAAGATAAGCATATCAACTTGTGAGTTCTCTCACTGGGAAATGATTATATAGTTGTATAAAAAAATTGTGAAGGAAAATGCGTTTATTTAAATTGACACTGACATCTTCCAGCTGGACGAGCTGACATTTCCACACAAGGTATAACGGCCTGTTTACAGAGAGTCTTGCGTTAAGAATGGCATAGATGTTAGTGTTCTACATTGTCAGGTTACATCCTATCAAAGGAAACATGCTTCAAACTTGTCTGGGTTGGAACATAAGGGAATACCTCAAAGTAGAGAAGTTAGATTTGTCCTCTAGCTCTGCCTAGTGGGTCAACAGGCATATTTTCTGGGATATGATTTTTCATCCAGATCGTTCGTGTTTGTTTTCCATTACAAACTAGGGGCGGTGGGGTAGCCTTGTGGTTAAAGCGTTCACTCGTCACACCGAAGACCCGGGTTCGATTCCCCACATGGGTACAATGTGTGAAGCCCATTTCTGGTGTCCCCCGCCGTGATATTGCTGGAATATTGCTAAAAGCGCCGTTAAACCATACTCACTCACTCCTTTACAAACTATTCAAGATGACGATTCCAACAGACTCAGTGGTGTAGTTCATATGTTCCATGAATGTTCGGTTAACCTATGTTAGTATTGTGTTTGTCAAGTAAAAATAGAAGGAAACGCACCTACCGTATACACCATAATAACCACCCTGCTCCAATAAGTACCCCCTGTCAAACTTCTAGACCAGTGAATGTAGCCTTGTAGGTAAAGCTTCTCATGCCTTAAGACCAGGGCCCACTTGCACAGAACGATCTTAGCCCTACAATTATTGTAAATCCATAAGATCGCGATCTTAGGCTTCGGCTACAATCGCCATCGACTTGCACAAAGCGATTGTAGGCTAAGATCGTTGTAAGTTACAATCGAAACTTACAATTGGTCCGGACCAATTGTAAGGAGCTAAGATCATTGTAGTCTGTGACATAATGGTGTTCAAGTTTCACGCAAATAATCAGCTTTACGTTTGGAGATTGCTTTTATATTGCATAAAACTGTACTGTATGATTCGCCTCGACACTTCAACACGGAGAATGCACAACCGATTTAACGTCGGATACATTGTTATTTGCTGTAGTGAACCACAGAACTATCGAAATCGATATCACAAAGTACTATTCCCACCCGATTCAAGGTTGGAATAAGTGTGAAACAACATACCTTTTGATAATCAAGGAAGGATACTAGCAAATGGTGTCCGCGTATGAATAAAACCATGGCCTTGACCTTTTCATTAACTCAAGAGCAGATAATTTTAGTTTATGGGCAAGATGGGAGTGGTTTCCCCTGGCCTATGCCGCTGCTGTAGTGTCTGTCATGCCCAATCGCAGAGCTCAAGATATTTTCTTTTCGGTGATGGAGTGATTTTGTCTTAGTTAATCATTAAAGTAATCAAAAATTAGATACAAGTTAACGGCAAAATCAAGATTCAATTTTAATTTCACTTTTAGAAAAATATCTATCAACGCAATAGGGTCATATCATTAATATACTGTGAATAAGTATTTAACAACTGCTCTCTCGATATATTATTTGATATTCAGTGATTTCCCTGTCATGAATTCTTTACAACACTTCTGTAGCCATATTACATTTTCTTGTTATATTGTGAGAAACCAATACTTCTAGGGTATATTTAGGATTTTACACACACAAAAAAAAAACAGCTGTGCATTAAACAATGCCTCATTGACAACCAGTGGCAAATCATGCATTTAGGTGTTATATCATAAGTAAATATTGTCGATATTTGATATATTATTATAATTTTCATAATTATTAAGTCACTAAATCTAGACCCAAATTTATGAATGTATTTTTCGCAGAGTTCAATATTTTCATAAAACATGGGTAGGTATTTCCGTGGGTTGAAATATCACATTCTCAGTTCATAAATCAAGACAGTTAAAATGTAGAAAAATATATGCTATCGTCCACTGTCGTTTCCTCGAAGATTTCTTGGAATGTTTTTCATGAAAATTCTGCAAAGTGCGATTGAGGGAGGTATGTATTGTGTGCAGGGACCAGTATCACTCTCTATTTGCACAGTATGCTATGCGCACTTGCAGACTACTGTAGACAGGAGTCGAGTTTAAGAAATTCGCACCTCCACCGTTGAAGAGTGCGATCTTAGCTAAGATCGCTATTTTAAATCCATGCGGTCTTACAATCGCGCTAAGATCGGCTTTGTGCAAGTGGATTAGGGCAATTGTATGGTGATTGTAAAGTTGATTGTAGGGGCCTAAGATTGATTGTAACTAAGATTGCTCTGTGCAAGTGGGCCCTGGGCTCGATTCCGGAATTGGGTACAATGTGTGAAGCCCATTTGTGGTGTCCTCTGCTGTGATATTGCTGGAATATTGCTAAAAGCTGCATAAAACCATACTCACTCACTCACTCTGCATAAAGATCTGAGTAGAGCTCCATAGAAGGTCATCGAAGGGTTTTCTAAGCAGGCAATCAAAGCTTCTAAGTAAAGTAAATCACACATTCAGAGAAGCTTAAACAATACTCACTCTATACCAGTATCAGAGCACAGCTGACAGTGTAATATTGCAGTTGTGCTTGTCAAATCATTTTGAAAAATGGGTTAGAAATTTCCTACTTTGAATGATACACTGTAGGTATATATATTCTCTTTTGAAAACTTTCTTTATAAGGAAACCCCCAAACTAAGTTCTCCCTGATAGGATGTGGCTTGACAATTGTGATCCTTACTTTTGCCAAAAGTTTTGACATGTTCTCAGCTTTGTGACATGAAGAATATAATTCCTGTAAGCATCAAGGAAATGGTTGCAAAAACTCTTCAATTGCAAATTCTGTTTCAAATCTGCCTAAGCTTACGAAACAAACTCAACATGTAAGGCTTAACAAATAAACCTGGTTCTCATGCTTTAAGTGAAACTTAATGCAAGGGTTGCAATTTTGAGGTGTTGTATGCGGGGGTGTTTATTTATAAAAGTCAAAATAAATAAGGACAGTGGTAATTGACTTGAGAACCAAGAATGATGTTTTGTTCAGCCTAATGTTGCGTACTGGAAGAAAATGAAAGTGGATGTACCTACCGAATGTTGTCAGCGTTCTTGATTTCGTGTTTGTGACAATGCATCATGCTGCATCGTGGTTGATATTGCTTTACTTTGTCGCTAGCATTACCTCCATGAAGTCGAGACCAGGCATGCACATAGACACCAGGTAGTTTATTTTGTTCCGTACTTTATGCGTATACTGCATCTGCCTGACTGCTAACCACTGCCTGAATCGGGCATCTTGTTGTATAGCTGACAGCGTTTGATCTATTAGCTGAGAATGTTCGACTTACATAGCTGAGTTTTATCTTTTCTGTGATGTATGATTTTCCTCTTTTTCTTTTACTTACATTATATGTTGTGCCAAATTTATATTCTCACAAGTGATATATGCTAGCTTTGCATTGTTTTGATGGTTTAGTATTCTAAGTTAAGAATGACACGGAAACAGTGATAAAATGTAATTTTATTTGGAATATTTGTAATATTACCACATCTCAGAAATGATTATATGAATATGGTGCACTGCATGAACTATTGACATTATCTCATGTTGAGGTTCTTGGCACATCTGATAACATCCATATCTAGTGACATGTACGAAGATTTATTGTTTCATTATATCTTCAAAATAACCAACTAACCAGCACTGCTGCTTGTCTCAGCACCATCTGTTTAACTAAAGTACTGTCGGAAATAGAAAAAAACCTGTTTTTATCCCTATAATTTAAACAACTGCAAATAGCATATGTCGAAATAACCCACTTGGTCCTAACTTGGCATTCAGTGGGATGCGTAATAGGATATCCAGAAAAGCATGTTTACTTGTAAAATCGGGCAAAAATATGAATAGCTGTTGAAAACAATAGATCAGACTATAGATGGCAATTAGGTCGCTCAGCCAGGTACAAGGGGTCATCTCAAAGATATTTTGTGCTTTTTCATGTGTGTTGACTATGCCTCATCTATTGATTAACATCTTACGTGTATTTCTTTCATGAAGTTTATGTTGGGATATGTAAAAGAGTATGATACCTGATAACCATAGAAACGCATCGTATTAAATGTTTCAAAATATATAGGTGGCATGACCACCTGATTGCGAGGTTGACAGGACCGGATATTATTTGTAAATAGCTACATCCTTAATAATTTCAGCATGAAAGTTATTATTTTTTATTTATTCCAGCTATCGTTTATAATGAAGCTACGTCTCATTTCAAATTGGGCATTAATAAAGTGTCCTTTGTAATACAATATCGTCGCACACTAATTTGCATAAAGCCATGGTCTGTTCCCAATAAATTATTTGCTCATTTCTCTCCTCAGTAAAGTGCTTTTTCTACGTTTCCTATCTCTCTACCACTGAGACTGTAGTTAGGCCGAACTTAGTTAAACAGATATTTCACACTTGCACATATCAACTACATAAATTGTAGAGATAAATGAGAAAATACAGTTTTTTTTCTATTTCCGTCAGTACTATAGTGAGGAAGGAAATACTCGTCAGCTGCTGTATCAGGACATCTCCTTGATACAGCATGTGCAACAGTCATCTAAGGCACAATTTGCAGTGCAGAGTTGCTTCCCTTAGGTGTGACAGGAGCCTATGATCATAATTTGAATCCTGGTTTACCCTGATTATATTTAGGTTAGTTAGCACCATACCCATCTTCGGGTTTCTGTATACAGGTACCCTCAGACATCAAGCGGACATACCAGATTATATACACTCACGTAACCTTGATTCGTGGATATAAGGGAAGTCCGGCGAAATTGATATTTTAAATGCATGATTTCATTTTGTATACGCATTGATTATTTTATTCATTGATTCAGCAAATTGAAAATGCCTAATATTCCACTCGTGAATGAAACATTTGTTTACCGAAGCCATTTGCAATCATCACTCATTCGTGTGCCCACAAAGCGTGACATCACCTTGTTTCGAGGATTACGTAGTCGGTTACTTTATACCACAGTGTACTACATCCCACTGCAGTAAGTATTGACACCAAGGAAAGCAGACAACAAGAAGCGAGAAAATTGGAGCTTACGGTATTGTTTTTACTCGACATTTTGTGAAAATAAAATTTGGTAATGGTGGTATTAGTGATCTAGGGCTATTTGTCTCAATGCTGGACAAGGGCGGTGGGGTAGCCTAGTGGTTAAACCTGGGTTCGAATCCCCACATGGATACAATGTGTGAAGCCCATTTCTGGTGTCCCCCGCCGTGATGTTGCTGGAATATTGCTAAAAGCGGCGTAAAACCAAACTGAGTCAGTCAGTCAGTCAATGCTGGACAATTATATTTAATGTACTTGCGTGTAATGCAGAGAATCGGAACTTTTTTGTCAGCTAGGCGTGATATTGTATGTACATCAAAAGTTCCGCCTCGTGACGTCAGTCGAAACTTAATTTACGAGCTAGCATGTTAATTTCCGTGATCCACGAATCAAGGTTATCCACGAATTTAGGTTACTGTTCTGTAACTGAAAGATTATAACAGAAATAATTATCGTTAACAAACTCGCTCACAAGTGAGTGACAACTTGAGGGAATGAGGAATGGGTGATCACATTTGTTGATCTGAACAATTGTGCATTGTCCTTTCTAGACAATGTGGACAACTCACTTGTACTATTTGTTTTATTAAAAAATAATTGTATAAGAGAAAATATGATTCATGTAAAATTATGTTGCCTATTATAACCTCCTCTTGTCCAATGGCTGTGTTAATGAAGAGCACCTTGAGGAGATTCCAGTTCTTGTTGTAAAAAGCGCAGGTCGATGCTCATGCTGTTGATCACTGGATAGTCTGGTCCAGACTCGATTATTTACAGACCGCCGCCATACAGCTGGAATATTGCTGAATGCGGCGTAAAACTAAACTCACTCATTCACTCTTGTTGTAAAAGGTGACCTCATAAATTAGGTGGTTAGACTTGATGGCTTGCCTCATTGTTATTGTGTTCATGTTATCGACCACTGGTTTGTGTGGTCCAATCTTGTACTTACAAACAACCAGCCTGTAGGTCAGTGAACCAACAAATTATACAGCAGTTCCTGCGCTTTAATTTCATTATCATTCTATACTAGCCACATAAAGAAACTGTGCATTGTCAAAATATTATCCCAGTTGATAAGTACGATAACAATGTCAAAGGTACATATAAACTTTAATGGAGGGATCATGAGACCATAACAAGTTGGGAGAATTTCAATTGAAAAGTCAATCACAATGACGTCACAAGTCCACAAGCGGGACAGGGGTCAAACGACCATGTCACAAGCTCAATAACGGGTATGTCCACCATCGGCATTGAGAACAGCAGTGCATCAACGACGCATAGAGCCTATCAAACGTGCAAGGAAGGCTTGTGGGATGTCACACCAGATTCTCTCAAGTTCTGTTGCAAGGTCAAGGTCTGGCGGATGAGGAAGACGGCGTAGACGTTCGATCCATCTCGTCCCAAACATGCTCTATCAGGGAGAGATCCGGTGAATTTGCAGGCCAAGGCAGTAAGTCAACGTTGTGGTGTTGCAAGAAATCCATAGCAACCCTTGCTGTATGAGGGCGGGCATTGTCCTGTTGGAATGTTAACCCAGGGCTATGACGTTGCAGAAAAGGAATTGCCACAGGTCGAAGAATCTGATCCCTGTAGCCCACACCAGTTGAGTTGCCTTGAACAATCACCAAAGGAGTTCTTTGGCGTGCTGTTTTTTCCTCCGCAAATCATCACGGAACCACCACCAAAGCGATTCCTCTCCAAGACACAGGCCTGTGCATAACGTTCTCCCACGCGTCTATAGGCACGTTGACGTCCATCACTATGGGAAATGTTAAACCTGGACTCATCTGTAAAAACAACATTTCTCCACCAAAACAAGGGTCTGCAGACATGATTTCGGCACCACATTTGACGAGCTTGTCGATGACGTGTCAGGATAGGCCGTATGGCGGGACGTCGTGGTCTGATCCCGTGATGAAGTAAACGTTGTCGAACTGTGTTGGGGTGGATACGGCGAAGTCCTGGGATGGTTCGGGCAGTCATCACTGCAGTCTGAAACCTGTGGCGAAGATGGATCACCCTTACCCATTTGTCCTGTCTTGGCGTTGTTACACGTGGACGTCCAGAATGTGGCCGATCGATGACGTCATTTGTGTTCTGGTAGCGTCTCAGCAGTGCAGAAATGGTGTTCCAGTGGCAGTGGAAATGTGCAGCCACTTGTCGTTGAGACATTCCCCCACGGACCATCCCAATGGCCTCATGACGTTGTGCAGACGTGAGCCTTGGCATGCTATGCGTTTCAATAGCCGTTTAATTTTTTGAACGATCGCAAGGGCAGGGGTTGAGCTTTCCAAAGTGACAGTATTGTGTGGCATTCATTTGCTCTGTTTCTCTTTCCCGGAATGCACGTGCAACAACGTATTGCACGTCTCAAGGACGAACCCACTGACGTCACGGAACATGGCACGTGCATGCATGTTGGATACATGTCACTAATCTCTGAGTTTAAATCCTTATGTGTCTACACAGGTTTGATAATTTAGATTTTAAATTTTTGTATGCACAGTTTCTTTATGTGCCTAGTATATATAGATAGTTGAATAATGATTAATGCCACGAGAGTCCCAGCTAGCTGATGTATATATTTATTCACGGTATACCATGCTTAATGCTACTATAATGAACAAATGGCAACAATTGCTTTGAACAGCAGCTTTTGCTGACTACATCTTTCTGTACTAAGGAGTTTTTTAACAAAAACTTTAGCCCAACTGCCTGCTTAAATTTTTAAAGTTTATTATAAGATCAAAATTGAACTTTTAAAGTTTATGAACACATACTTGCCCAACTGCCTGCTTAAATTTTAAAATGTTTGTTGTAAAATGAATGATTGTAGCAAAAATATCTTGAACAGATCATAATCTTTGGATGTCCTTTTAATATTCTGACTCAAATTCTTTAAGAACGTTTGTGTGATTGTATGAATACCCCAAACGTACAAACGTTTTGTTTTTACAAATGGCAGGATGGATTTGTTTAGTTGAATTACTTAGCTGTGGCGTGACAGTGTTGTGGTGCAGTGGTTAAAGAGCTCTACAGCTGCAAGAACCCATGCATCCTTCATGGGGCAGTCGGTGCTCATGCTGTTGATCACTGGATTGTCTGGTCCACACCCGATTATTAACAGACCACTACCATATAGCTGGAATCTTGCTGAGAGCAGTGTTAAACAACAAACCAACAAAATCAGGGGGCAATCATGGCACAGCTGACACAACCTCCTGAGGATGGTCTGTCAGATCCTTGCTGAGAGGTGTGACAGTAAGAGATATGTGGCACATGCTCATCAGTCGTTGCTGATGTCATAGATGACGTAAACACTGCTGTCAGACAGGTCATCCCAGTCTGGTCACTGGTCATCACTACACTTGTATGTTGGATCCCGTGAAGATCCAGGTTAGAATTGCTCTTCAGCAACCCATGCTTATCGTAAGAGGGATCTGGATCTGGTCAGGCTCGCTGACTTGGTAGACCCATGTCATCGGATACCAATTGCGTTGATCAATGCTCATGATGTCAATCACTGGATTGCCTGGTCCCGACTATTATTTATGGATCACCGTCATATAGCTGGAGGTGAGGTGAAATTGGGTTTAACGTCGTGCTTGAGAATATTTCGCTCATATGACGACGTGCATGCGTGTGTATGTGTATGTGCGGCTGCTTGTACTAGCCCAGACTTAAGCTGGTTTTATAGTGCTAGCCCACTGAGATACCATGCCGCAGTGAAGCATGAATACCCCACTCAGACACATTATACTGACTCCAAGCCGACCAGTCCTTGTACCCATTAATACCGAACGCCAGGCAGGGACCAACAAGTACCATATTTTAACGTCTTTTGGTATGACGCGGTCGGGGATCAAACCCGCGACCTTTCGCTCTCCGGGCAGACGCTCTAACCACTACACCACAGAGGCGGTCACATATAACTGGAACATTGCTGAATGCAGGGTTAAGGAGCAACCAAACACAATCATTACAGTTGCTAGATGAGATCTTGGTGGCCAAAATTTTAACATCTGTATCCCGAAGATGTATTGCACATGTTCTCTATCCATTTCAGAGCACAGGCAAATAATGAAATTCCACAAACTATATGTTACAGATTGTGAACACTCCACCTGCATAAACTCACATTCACATTCATAGTAAATGGCATGATATCACACAGACTGTGTGGTCTTGTCAGTCAGATGTATGCTGTTGGGCCTCTCATGCTGAAAGTTTCACAAAGCATGAGCGTTTCATGCCTCTTTAAACAATAGTTTTCTGTACTTGATCACCTCCACATGCACTCTGCATGTGTATTAGTGACCACCGATTGGACAAATGTATTCATGCTGCCCTGATGTTTATATAACTGTTATGTAGCAGATAAGGAACAGGTGTATAACTGGTGGAAGGGTACGAAACATGGGTTTCTTTTATCTGTGTGACTGCTGAAATAGATTGACTGCCAAATGGATTTGCGATTGTTCACGTGTTGTGTTTTCATCTTCAGAAGCACTCGGTGAAGGGTGTGGGGGAGAGGCTAGTGTACCAGTTCCACTACACGGAGTGGCCTGACCATGGCGTCCCAGACTACACACTGCCTTGTCTCACCTTTGTCCGCAAGTCTGCTGAGATGAACCCTGAAGGGGGAGGACCTATAGTTGTACACTGCAGGTAGGTCGACCTAGGGGACTATAGTTGTACACTGCAGGTAGGTCGAGCTAGGGGACTATGGTTGTACACTGCAGGTAGGTCGACCTAGGGGACTATAGTTGTACATTGCAGGTAGGTTGACCTAGGGGACTATGGTTGTATACTGCAGGTAGGTCGAGCTAGGGGACTATGGTTGTACACTGCAGGTAGGTCGACCTAGGGGACTATAGTTGTACATTGCAGGTAGGTCGACCTAGGGGACTATAGTTGTACACTGCAGGTAGGTCGACCTAGGGGACTATAGTTTTATACTGCAGGTAGGTCGAGCTAGGGGACTATAGTTGTATACTGCAGGTAGGTCAACCTAGGGGACTATAGTTGTATACTGCAGGTAGGTCAACCTAGGGAACTATAGTCGTATACCGCAGGTAGGTTGGTCGAGGGGACTGTAGTTGTATACCCAGGTAGCAGGTAGGTTGGTCGAGGGGACTGTAGTTGTATACCGCAGGTAGGTTGGTCGAGGGGACTATAGTTGTATACTGCAGGTAGGTCGAGCTAAGGACTGTAGTTGTATACCACAGGTAGGTTGGTCGAGGGACTATAGTTGTATACTGCAGGTAGGTCGACCTAGAGAACTATAGTTGTATACCGCAGGTAGGTTGGTCGAGGGACTATAGTTGTACCTGCAGGTAGGTCAACCTAGGGAACTATAGTTGTACCCTGCAGGTAGGTCAACCTAGAGAACTATAGTTGTATACCGCAGGTAGGTTGGTCGAGGGGACTGTAGTTGTATACCGCAGGTAGGTTGGTCGAGGGGACTGTAGTTGTGCTGTGCTGAACTATAGTGTTTTTCAGTGGTCATACACTTGTCATCTCAATCTTAAGGCCCATGGGGGTTCTGTACAGTAATATACCAGTAATAAACCTCATTATCTCAAGGACCATAGTTTCTGACACTGTGGGTACAATCATGGAGATGTTTCTGTTCCAGTGCTGGTGTTGGGAGGACAGGAACCTACATCTTGATCGACAGCATGATAGCCAAGATGGAGGAGAAGAGTCTCATCAATATTCCAGGATTCATCCTGCATATCCGGAAACAACGAAACTTCCTTGTGCAAACTGAGGTACTTGAAACAAATATATAGCCTGGTAATAAATGCTATACTCTCTGAATTCTTATCTGATTGGTGGTCATACAATTTGAAAGATTCTGGTTGCATAGTTTTTTTTCTTTTAATGTCTTAACTTATTTCTTGGGCATGCCGGAAACCTGATAGTTGGTTTGACTCCTGGTTTGCCCCGGCACTGATTCTTGATATGTCAGTGGCATACCTGTGCTCAGTGTGGGACCTGCTGACACCTGCATCACCTCAGACTTTACTCCCACACACCATGATACAAGTCTGTTAAACATGGCAATGAACCCAACTCACTCACTCACTCACTCTATAGTTTATCTTAGGCGTACTCACTCACTCACTCTATAGTTTATCTTAGGCGTGCTCACTCTCACTCACTCTATAGTTTATCTTAGGCGTACTCACTCTCACTCACTCTATAGTTTATCTTAGGCGTACTCACTCACTCTATAGTTTATCTCAGGCGTACTCACTCACTCTCTCTCTCACTCACTCACTCTATAGTTTATCTTAGGCGTACTCACTCACTCACTCTATAGTTTATCGTCTAGTTTTTCTTACTCACTCACTCACTCACTCTCACTCACTCATTCACTCACTCACTCACTCACTCTATAGTTTATCTTAGGCGTACGAATGCCGTTGTGCTACAAAGACTTTGTGGATTTGAACCCTGTTCTCCGATTTGTGACACATAATAATTAGACATGTTGCACCTTCCAGGACCAGTACATGTTCATCCATGACGTGCTGGTGGAGTATATTCTGGGTGGAGGAGACACGGAGGTGACGGCAGACACTCTCACAGCGTACATTGAGAAGCTGACCATGCCTGCTAGAGATGGAGCGGAGACCATCCCAGAGGCCATGCTGGAGAACCAGTATAAGGTGAGGGCAGGGACAGGCTGTAACTTGGGTGGGTGGTGAAGGGTGGGTGTGTCCCTATGAAGGGAAGTACCTTTGATTTGGGGTGTAGTGTGAGGTATGTCTTCTGTGTGGGATAGAGATTTGGGTATATCCGGGATTGGGGAATATATATCATAGCTCTTGATGTGAGGTTGAGTATATCCTTTGTGGCGATGTAGAAAGGGATATACTATGTGGGTGGAGTATATATCTTAGTAAAGTTGGGGGATATACTTTCAGGGTGGTGGTGGATGATGTGGTATAAACTTACACTAAATATTTTTTCTGTTTTTTTTCTGGGATACAGGCAGAGTATATCCTGAGTAGCCCATTAGCATGTGGTATATACACTTGGAGGCAGTATAAGGACATGTGAGCAAAATGCAGTGTAGTTATCATAGAATTTATCCATGGTCCCTGAGAGAATAGCTATTCTTTATGGTCTTGGTAGAGGGCGGTGGGGTAGCCTAGTGGTTAAAGCGTCCGCTCGTGACGCTGAAGACCCGAGTTCGAATCCCCACATGGGTACAGTGTGTGAAGCCCCTTTCTAGTGTCCTTGCCGTGATGTTGCTGGAATATTGCTAAAAGCAGCGTAAAACTAAACTAAACTTAGTCAGTCAGTCAGTCTTGGTAGAGTAGTTTGGTCTATAGCTAGCTGGGACAAAACATCTAGATAAACTAGATATCCAATCAAACAGAACTCACCATTTTGAACTGACAGATCATGTTTAAATTGTTTTGTCAATTTTTTTATCCCAGCTGGTAACAGCCCACAGGAGGAATGATGATGAGATTTCTCAAGCTCTCAAGCCAGTCAATGAAGCCAAGAACCGCAACAGCTCCTTTCTGCCTGTCAATCTCAAACGTGTCCTGCTGCCCGTGAAGCCCGGCATGGATGGTTCCGACTACATCAACGCCACCTACATGCAGGTTAGTGCAGACTCTTACACATTGGGGGCGGTGGGGTAGCCTAGTGGTTAAAGCGTTGGCTCGTCACGCCGAAGACCCGGGTTCGAATCCCCACATGGGTACAATGTGTGAAGCCCATTTCTGGTGTCCCCCGCCGTGATGTTGCTGGAATATTGCTAAAAGCGGCATAAAACCAAACTCAGTCAGTCAGTCTTACACATTGGAAAAATGTCAGGAGGGAATATCTGAAAATGGAAATGCCTCTTGGCTTATTTTAAATAATTTCTCAGAGATGCTCGGAAACCTGTTAATGGGTTTAACATGAATTATATTTTAGATTACACTTTCTCAGTAAACTACAGATTCTAGTACTTTTTATTAGGTTAAGTCCCATCCGGGATTCAAACCCGGACCCTCAGAGTCCGGCACCTAATCGCCAGCACACAAAGTCAGTGACCTAACTCACTCTGCCACAGATGTAAATAGCTTGTGTGACCAAAAATGAAATGTTGATCTGAGAAGAACAAAGATATGCAGTATGTGCTCTGTATACAGTAGGGCGACACTGTGCGCATACATGGGAAATATAAAGCACACAATTTAAATGTTAGAGTTCTCCTCCATTGCCAGGGTTACAGCAAGTCGAATGAGTTCATCGTTACCCAGCATCCCCTGGAGTCTACTGTAGAAGACTTCTGGAGAATGGTGTGGGACAGGAACAGCCCTGTCATCATTGTCCTCTCCTACGTCAACAATGAGGTGGGTGGAGTATAGCGGAGTGGAGTATAGCAGTCAGATGTCTGCATCTCTGTGTAGAGTTGCTTCCCATATCAGTACCAGGATACTATGTCTTTGCAGTATTTCCATGTGCTGTTTCTACAAGTGATCTTAGCATTCCCATTATTTTGTCGCCAAAGACCCGGGTTTGATTCCCCACATGGGTACAATGTGTGAGGCCCATTTCTGGTGTCCCCCGCCGTGATATTGCTGGAATATTGCTAAAAGCAGCGTAAAACTAAATTCACTCACTCACTCACCCATTATTTTGTAACTAAAGGAGAGTCATATCATGCTATTGTAGACTGCTTCCGTTAAGCTACCTGCATGTCCATGGTTCATTATTTCATGACTAAATAATTTTTTAACTGTTTACTAATCGACAGGATTTCAAAGAATTTTGGCCAAAGAAGGAAGAGCCTATGGAGTTTGAAGCTTGTCCCTTCAAGCTGACCACACGAGAGGAAGAGCAGGTGTCCACCTGTGTCACCAGGGGGTTCCTGTTGGAGTCAACACAGGTTAGTATCAAGACAGAGTTGTGCCCCTTTGCTGTCAGGATCTGCTGGTGATATATTGGAATCCCAGATTTGCTCTGATTATGATCCTTGTCCACAACCTGTGACAGTTTAGAGAGTTCAGGGGTTTTGGTATAGAGTTAAGTGGTAATTGAACTATTCCGAAGGATGTGTTAGGAACCCTTAGTAATGGTTTGGGGTTAATTTTAAAAATTGAAATAAAGAATATCAAAACTTGACGCTAGAAGTTTTCATTGTTTCAACAATTTGTTGGCAATTCATTTCTGTTCTTTGGACTCCACTTTTTCAGTATATGGCCAAAGACTCTTTAGTTCTTTTTAATCCCGTGAAGTCTGGGTATTAAATGGTCTTCAGCAAGCCATGCTTGTTGCGACTAATGGAGTCGAATGATCTGGCTTGCTGACTTGGTTGATGCTTGTCATTGTATCTCAGTTGCTCATGATGTCAATCAGTGGATTGTCTGGTCTAGGCTTGATTATTCATAGACTGCCTTCATATATGTTGAATATAGCTAATGGCAGCATTAAACAACAAGCAAACAAACCAACTTCTTCTTTCAAATTTACTTGTTACTCTGAATGTTTTAATGTTTTTTCTGGTAGCCTAGTGGTTGAAGCGTTCGCTTGTCATGCTGAAGAACCCGGTTTGATTCCCCACATGGGCACATTGTGTGAAGCCCATTTCTGTTGTCCCCCGACGTGATATTGCTGAAATATTGCTATATAAATGGCGTAAAAATAAACTCGCTCACTCACTTTAATGATTTTCCATGAAGATACAAAGCAGCATGCAGGGTTGTGGGGTAGCCTAATGGTTACAGCATCCACTCGTCACGCTGAAAAGCAAAGGCGAGGTAAAACCATACTCACTCACAAAGTAGCATGCAGTGTTCCTGATTCAGGCTCATGTGTAATCTGCCTGTTCTAGTACGACTACACCTTCCAGACGAAGTTGATGACAGTTGACGGATGGCCGGGGGCATGCTCTCCACTACACACTGTGTTCCAGCTGATAGAGACAGCACAAAAATGGCAGCTGGAGAATGACATCGGTCCTGTCATAGTTGTCGACAGGTTTGTCAAACTGATGTGCTCTTAAACACTGTGGTTTGCTGTGAGACCCCAAAACAGATTCTGAGGCAGTATTTGGCTCCTGCACATCACAAGCTTGCAAACAAACAACGACAAATGTTAAAAATCATAATCATCTCAAAATTCTTTTTATTCCTATCAGCAGGAATATGTCCATTTTTAATTTATTAATTGCGGTTAGAATCTCCCTATTTTTTGTAACCCGTGAAGATACCGGGTCAGAATTGGTCTTCAGTAACCCATGCCTGTTGTAAGAGGCGACCGGGTGGTGAGGCTCGCTGACTTGGTTGACACATGTCATCGAATCCCAATTGCGTAGAACGATGCTCATGCCGTTGATCACTTGATTGTCTGGTCCAGACTCAATTATTTACAGACCGCTGCCATATAGCTAGAATATTGCTGAGTGCAGCGTAAAACTAAACTCACTCATTCACTTATTTTATGTTATCATCATGTGTGACTGCCTCCCCAGGTACGGCGGCGTAGAAGCGGGGAAGCTGTGTGCGTTGTGGACGATGTACAACCAGCTGACGCAGGACAAGAATGTGGATCTCTACCAGCTTGCCAAACTCTACCATCTCAAAAGACCAGGGATCATCGGGACAAAGGTTTGCCTATCATGCCAGTGTAAACCTCATCATACATACAGGCCCAACTCTCATGACACCATTTTGATTTATTCACATCAGATGTAAAACTTTTGAAGACATAAATCTATAAAGATGACTAAATTACTAAATCAAAGTTCATATGTGTTTGGCGCACCTTGACGTAAAGGGTATCGCATTTTGGGACTTGATTTCAGCAGTTACACCTAGCGCCAGTGTAACCTGAAACTGCAAAATACCTCATACGTATACCAGCTTACACCCGGGGCATGTCAGTAGTTTGCTGTTCACAGCTGAAAATCAGAATGATTAGAAACTGGCTTGGAGCAGTGATTCAGATGACTTTGTAGAGTGACTGAGAGACTGTTACTGTTTATGTCATGAAATTTTATGATGTAATATAATATTAGCTTTAAGCAGGGCTTGATTTAAGGATACCTACTTGCACCCTGTGCAACATTATGTAATGACCTTGTTTCACCAGATAAAAACAGGTTGCACCTACTGCTCAATAAAAAAATAATATACAATGCTAAAGTTTTGGTACTGATGGTCTAGAAAATTATTTTAACAAAATTACTCCGGGTAAAATAATTTTTTCTTAGGTTGTTCACCCTAAAGTACATATGAGTATTTTAAACCACAATAGTCGGTCATAAGTTGTTCAAATGGTGTAATCTAGCATGAAAACATATCCTCTTTCATTGTTTATTTTGGCCTTGGCGAGAGTTAGCCTAGTGGTTAAAGCGTTCGCTCGTCACACCACAGGCCCTGGTTCGAGTGCCCCCATGGGTACAATGTGTGGAGCCCATTTCTGGTGTCCCCACCGTGATATTGCTGGACTATTGCTAAAAGAGGCATAAAACTCACTCACTCACACTCATTGGTTCTTCCTTCTTTTAATTGCAGGATGACTACCTGTTCCTGTACAAAGTCATTGAGAGTTACCACAAGGCAAGTCTAGAGGAGGGCGGGGAGTCCGTCAACTCATCCCCCAAACACCACAACTCTGTTCGCAAAAACGGCACTCTCCCGCACACCATAACACTGAGTCATAGCAACAGTAAGACAGAGACCAATATATGACAGGGTGTGGAACTCAAGGGTATTGCTGAGCAAATCCAACATTACACTCTCCTGACTTCACAGAACAATAGACTTGTGTTGAGAACAGCAGCATCGACTTGCTGATGAAGAGAATGGACTCTTAATTCGCAGATCGGATAGCCTAGATGCAAAGCCTTGTGGTGAAGTGAAGTGTTTTGAAGGCTTGAAAGGAACATCAAAGAGTACATGCTCGATGCTTTAAGGACATCACATTGCTGCCAAATCCTTCGACTACACAAATATCCTACTGAGACAGAGATTTCATGGGATGGGAATCACGGTTTGATGCATACCTGTCAGTGAAATGGAGGCAGTTGTGTTGTTGTGTTAAAGAATCTCACTGTCTCTGTGTTGAGGGTTTTCTGTAGGAAGGAACACTTCTAGCATGCTTCAGTAGCACGCTGCAGCTTGGAACGTGGTACAAGATGTGTGTGGTACAAGAGGGAAGTGGTACAAGATGAGTGTGGAGCAAGATTGACGTGGTACGAGATGGGTGTGGTGCAAGTTGGAAGCGGTTCAAGACGGATATGTTACAGGGTGGGTGTGGTGTCCGTCAGTGAGGTCAGTTGGTTTCAGACTGTGACCTGCACGGACAGTCATATACTGCTAATTGCAGAAACACTGAAACAAATCTTCATGGAATCAAAACTGATTTTTAAAATGTATTTTAGAAATGGTCCAATTTTGAACAAGGAGGTTGTTTTCTGTTCGGGATCAGTTGTTGAAGATGTATCCATCAATGCAGTCCAAGTTGAAACAATTGTATCTCACCTTGGACAAGAGCTACACCACAGATGTATCAGAATTAAGGAAACCGTTCCTTGTATCAGGAAGTTCCGGTGTGGATACATGGATCTTTTCCCTCATCAATATTTTCAGGAGATTATGAAAAGCCCAGTGATGAAACGATTGATCTGTTGTCTACCAATTCCGCCATGTTGCACTATGTTCACGATCATGCATTTAGAGGCTTTGCATTTACGGTCTTTATGTTTGTTGGTCGATTTGAGAGAACTTAACAAAGCCAACATATTCAAACACTAACATGTAACAAGTTTCTACATATTTTATACTAATGGAAATTTGAGCTCAATATTTAATATTTTCATGTAATCGCAATATTTGAAATGTAGAGAAAAATATGTACATGTTACAGATATAACATTTTGCAGATATTATGGATATTTAAGCAGAATATAAGGTGACCAAAGTAATTTTTGAAAACCGTAATTTGAGTGTAATATTGATAAATTTAGGGACAAATATTTTTCGCATTATATTTATCATACATGATATTGTGTATCTTAATATAAAATATGTGACATTAATATTTACACTGGATTCTTTGATAACAATCTGTGGTTCAGTGTTTCTCGATTGTGGAACGTGAGAATAACTTTACTGACAGCAGTGTCAAATACCGCAGAACCATTTTCACACGTCTTCTAAATTGTTAGCATCACTTTCATAAAGTTTGTCTTCTTGTTGACATTTTTTACACAGCGTCCAATCTGATACACATTGTGTCACTGGAAGATAATACATCAGATAGTTTCATCATTGTACAATGAAAATACAAAACAAATGTCAGGAGGAATATGCTTCTTGATTAAGGAAGTATGGATCTGGAGTTACTTCCCTTGATGAATGAATATCATTCATAAAAACGTTTCGATTCCTTTATGTTAACCAGGAAGACTATATTACTGTGAGATATGTGTCAACCAATGTAGGGTCTTGTTTAGACAGAGGGAGCATTTGATGAGGTTCTTTGTCTAGATACTGACATCTCCATTGCTGATTGTTAAATGTCCAGGTGTTGATGTGTTCATGGCACTGAGGTCTTGACCACAGTGTCCAGGTGTTAGAAGCTGGACATCCGTACTGATTGGATCTATTTTGTAATTAATAACATTTTTTGTAATACTCTGAAACAAAAAGGGTCCAGATTGATAAGATTCAATATTATCCAGATTAACATGGTCTCACTGAAACAGAGTGTATGTATGACACAGTTGGAACCAGTGGAATCATGATAACTAACCAATCACTGTACAGCATGAACAGAATCATGGCACCAAATAATGGTCCAAGGTTAAACTTTAAAAATACGACAGGTATTTTCACATAGTGAGATCTTACAATAAGTACATGTGTGTTAGATTAATGGAGTCTTGATCAGAATGAATGGTATCATGGCGCCAGATAATGGTCCAAGGTTACACTTAAATAATACGACAGGTATTTTCACAAAGTGAGTCTTACGAATAAGTACATGAATTTTAGATTAATGGGATCATGATCACAGACCAATCACTGCTCAGCGGGACCGAATAGTGGCGCCAGATAACGGTAAATGGTTACCCTTTGATGGTACAGCATGTATCTTAAAGCTAAGTTCTTATGAGGTTCACTCAATTCACAGGATGCTTCTGTTATGTATAAAGGCAGATTGTGCTTATCAAAACCATAAGTGATTTGTAGTTACAAATTAGTCACAAACAAATTGAAACAATCAACGACAGCGATGACACGATGGATGATGTGAAGGTTTCCAGGATTGTGTACCACAATGGAGTACTGCCGTTACTGTGCTTGTTTAAACTCAGCTGCAGGTGCCTAATAGGTTATAGACTGCTTTTTGTATACCAGTTTTATTTATGAAGTATATTATTTGTGTACTACTTATATCTAGTCACTGTATATAAACATGACCTGTATTTTACATACATACCTATTGCATATCAGTTTTCTTTTCTCACTAGACTATTGACGCTGTATATGTTTAAGACGTTAGGATTTGTGTATATGTTCGCTCTGTATACAAGAATGTGTACACTTATTCAAACGATTTTGTGTGATATAAGTGAAGGTGATTTTCTTGTTTAAATTTTGCGTATAATGGAAGACGGTTTATGTTCACGAAATTGTTGAAGGATCAGATGTTTATATTTGATCATGCCGTGTTGACAGAAGGTTATTGGATCAAGTCCCAAGGTGTTCTGTGGCAGGTTTCTGGACGTAAGACTCGACATCAACTTCCTTCTGTAAGCTGGGGGGATATATATCATCACTGGCGGGGGTGAGGCTAGAGACAGGTATAGAATAATACACCATTTTGTTGTTGATGATGCTTTGAGATTTAACAAACTTCTAGGAAAGTTTTGGGTGAGGATTGATCACATATTATTATGTTTCTATATAGTTCATGTCCGAGTTAATGGCAGGGAGAAATACTGCTGCATTGTTTCATCTAGAGTGTGCGTAATTAATGTTATTCCTTTGACACTGGTAATATTTTTCCAATATTTCATCAGTCATTCGCAATGCTGAGTAAAACAAATTACGCTGAAATTAATTTGAAAAGTGATTTCAACTGAAATTGTTATTCTAGTTGTAAATGTTAACTGGTTGAGGCTGAAACTATAATTTGCATTGTCAACAATGTTAAATTCAGAAATAGATTTATTGTAGTTCCAATCATTTGCCAAAACTTTGCCAAATGACCTACACATGTTCTGCAGAATTTCCATTTTATGACAAGGAGCCAACAAAAAATAAACTGGAAGAATTTTCTCAAAATTCTCATGATGGGTGGAATAGTTTATCAAATGTTGGACTTTAGGATCACATATGTTGTTATAAAAGAATATATGTATATCATTGTATATTAAATAAGGCTCTATCTACAAGTATTACCAAGTTAGGTCAAGTATTGAAACTTACTATGGATAAGGAGAATTTATCCTTTTAAAAATGTTCCCTGATTCTCATAATATGGAATTAACCAGACTGTTGTTTGATTTTGTGAAGAAAGATGTCTGCATTTGTTAAATAAACCCAACCACGCTGTTCCTGCCTCCACTTTAACACTGGGCTATTTCCACAATATGGTATATACCTCATTCAGCGCCACATTCCACTGACTAAGTCAGTATCTTCACACAGTTGTACACAGGAAGTTCATATGCAGGTAACTTAGGAGGCAGGGCAGTGTGTGAAGGACAGCATTAGCAGTTTTCACAAATCAGCAGCTCCTACCTAGCAAAGGGAGGTAACTCAATTAGCTAGATTTACAATGTCATATTCATATTGTATTCAAACAAGGATTGTCTTCAAGAATGCTGGTCATTCTTTGAAATGAATAATGACTGGGATTGTTTAGGTTTCAAGGAAATGGAGTCATATGAAGTGTGATCAGATTTATACAAGTTGATTTCTGATTCCAGAATGGTGTAAATTTAGTATGACTTTGATTGACATTTCTTGGTGTTTCTCATAGTGGTTGTTTTAAATCCTCCACAACTACCAGGGTAGATTTTCTAGATGGTTTACAGGTGAGGAAGTTGATGTCTTGGATTCTGTTCAACTATCTGAGAACCCTTATCATTCTACACAACGATACATATATAATGGCAGAGGAATCCAAACTGTAAAATCCTGAAGACTGCATCTGTTCAGGACAAAGAATATTTGTATCTGGAGTTCTAAGTGCATAGATGTTGTCAGCTTCCTGCTCTCATTAGACAGCGAGGAAGCACCGGAGACACCATATAAAGAGCCTAGATTGTTACCTAGATGATGTCCCTTATTTGCCTGAGAAACCTACATAGTCCCTTGCTCATGTGTCAAAAGACGACCATGGTACGACCATGTCCGACTTTCTGCACTCCGATACATATCTCCGAGACGCAATTGCTGTAAATATTTATTTTGGTATACATACATTTCTGCCAACATTACATTTGTACATACACATGACTTCACATTGTATGATATAGTAGTTGTGAGCCAAGAGTGTCGTAGCATCCACAGTGTCTGTCTTCTCAAGTGTAGAATCTCGCATGCGCCCATGATTGTCAGTGTTGTGATGTATTAACGTGTGTGTGTATGACAGTATTTCCCTAATGACTACCTATGTTCAGTGTCTAACTTGGCTTGCTCTTATTTCGACAAGAATGTACAGATATTATCTAATGAGTTTCAAAGGGTGGATGTTGTTTTCATTTCGTGAATTCGGGTTTTCACAATCGGTAGTTCACGTTGAAATGAGAAACCAATGAGGAAAAATATGAGTCTCTATTAACCCCAGTTTTCCAGTTCACTGATCAATGCACAGTGGAATTTCACCATAAAGTTCATTATTTTGACAAAGCACTTCTCGTGTTATGTAATGATGTACAATGTGTACATGTTATCACCAGAAGCACACTCTATTGCCTTGTCCGTGTTGTCAAATCTTCTATTTCAAACCTTTTTTCATCCTCAGTAATTTTTAGGAACTGCTGATATTTATATTTAGTTACGACATTATGATATTCAGGTGTATGTAGGGAGGCAGCATCACAATGGTTCAGGAACCTTTCTACGAATACCAGGGAACAGCATCTTAAAGTGTGTCTCCAACTTGTTGGTCTCCGAGTCTGGAGCTACCTGAACAACTGCTCACGTGGAGTTAGACTGCAACCTCCTGAATAAGTACTTACTGGTACCCAGTATACTGATGACAGGATTTGCTGATTTGATTTGTCATGGTTGAGTTAGTCCGGTTTGGGTTTCAGAGCTGCTTGCAGGGTTTTGTAAAATGAGGATCACATTTTGGAATTCTTAATCAGGAACACTGGACAGTGAAATATGCGAGGGTATTTTTGTAGTGCAGTTAATTGAGGCTTTACAGTGTTTTCAAAATAGGAGGTTGGGAGCTGGATGCTTAGGCTGGGCACCAGCCGATTTTAAGCCAACACGCAGGGAAATGACCGAAATATTGATTGTCCCTCCCTTCCTCACTCACTCATTCATGCTCGTAGCACAATCATGACAGTTCAGAAGTGAAGGATTTGCATGTTTATTACACTGTGGTGTAGGTATTACCTCAAAGAAAGAAGTTTGACGATTAAGAAAGTCCCAGGTGAAGCCTGTCACGTATAGTCTCAAAATATAAAGTTTGTTCTCAAAGATATTGACATCACAGAATACTGTTCCTGGCCAAGTGGTTAAAGTGTTTGCTTGTATTGTCTTCTGAGACTGTTCAGTTCCCACAAGGATACGATGGGTAAGCCCGTTTTTGTGTTGACTGCCGTGATATGGCAGGAATACTGCTGTTTGCTTTGGTTTAGTATGGAAAAGATCTGTTGTTGAAGATGACATCTGGTAATGGCAACATGTAAACAACTGATTTTGTCATAATGTATATTTCCTGTCTTGTATGAATGAAGACAATTGTTATATGATCTCCAGACAGGTCATAATTTTACAGTGGGGAATTTTGTGTGCAATTCTCAGTGTTATTACAAGATTCATCTGACATAATAGACATTCATCATCACAGAGAATCCTCAAGCTTCAGAAAATGTTTCTGTCAGGATGTGCCAAGGTTTATGTTCGAACTATGAACAAGATAAGAAACATTAATACTGTTTCTTATTTCTGTGTTAAGAAAACACACTGACTTAATACTGAAATCAACCTGCTTGAGTGATTCCTTAAAATCTAGAAAATAGTATTGAGTAGAATCAAATGAAATGTCTTTCATGCTAAGATATCATGAAATCTGAACAATGCTACATGGTCCGGGTGCCAATTTTTAGCCTTTCTCTGGACATTGTGATCAGTGCCAAGCCAAGGTGTCGCATGCCCAAACAATGATGATATTCTTTGAACTTTCCACATTTGGGTCCGGTTTCATGGCCATTGTTCTCGTCCTCAACTGTTCTTACACCAATGTGCACAGTAAGCAGTTTTCATTTCCATTTCAGCCCAAACTTTCATCCTTGAAACTGTTCTGTGTCTGAACGTTTTGCATGTAGAAACGTTGTAGTTGGATATGCTTGTGACAGTGACAATGTTCTTAAAGGGGGACAGTGCTTCACATTGCCTGTCATCATCCAGGTTTCGGACATGTAATCTGTAAGCCGTGTGTCAAACTGGGATATCTAATTGTAACTTCAGTTTAAAATATTCCAACTTGCTATGAAAACACATAGTTATATTTTATGAAACATTTTTCATCCAACTTCCAGAATACAAAGAAACTGTTTTATGGTAGTGAGGTCTAAAAGCTACAATGTTGTGTGAGTATGAATCCCCATGCTATCATGCCCACACATGAGCTTCAAGTCTTGCTGCTTAACAGGAGACAGAATCCTCAAAGCATTTTCAAAGTGCTTCATTATACATATAAATTTGAGTTTTGAGTTTTTATTCAAAAACATCTTTCTGGAATTGGGGATTGGTTTGAGTAAGTGAGTGAGTTTAGTTTTACCCCGCTTTTAACAATATTCCAGCAATATCACAGCAGGGGACGCCAGAAATGGGCTTCACACATTGTACCCATGTGGGGAATTGAACCTGGATCTACGGCGTGATGATCGAACGCTGTAACCACGAGGCTCCCCACCACGGGATCGGTTTGAGTGTTGTCCTCCTTTAGATCTGGTCATACAGCACTGTTGCTTGTTAAATATTGACACTGTATTATTGATGGTGCTATTACTGTAACTTTGTGGTCAGACCACCTCTGGGAAAGTTTGAGAGGTTATTGAAGAATAATGGAAAGCAATCATCTGACTAAAATATTTATTTGGAATATTCAGTCATTGATGTTTGAGCTAACCGATGTGTGTTATTTGGGAAAGAAAAATGAATTCTCTGAGGTGATCTGAACATATTTGAAATTAATTAAATGTAATTCACTTGCTGTCTGATAAATATTGACATCTTTATTGTGTCTGCTGTCCTAAGTGTCGACACAAGTCTGTTATCTCAAGTGTTAACTGTAGACACAAGTTTGTTATCTCAACATTAACTGGAGACAGAAATGTGTGTTATCACATTAACTCTTAACACAAGCATGTTCTTTATCTCAAACATTAAGTCTACATTCATATGTTGTGCGATATTGCCACATGTTAATATGTCATATTGGTACAGCACTGCTCTTCACTGAGAAGGAGTAAGTTAAATAGCCGAGATGGAACAGTGTAAACTGCTTTAGCAGGGACACTAAACTTAATGTCAAGATAACTTTGTCACTTGGGAACACTTACATTTTCTTAAGGTTTCTCTACTGATGTGTTAAATGCCGAAATTTGAGACCACAGTTTTAATTAATTGCATTTTTTTATACTGAAACCTGCATTTCTCTGTTAGGCCAGACCAATTTTATTTCTTGTTTTATGGATCCGCTGGTCGTACTTTTTCAAGAATAAGAAAAAAAAAAAAAATTAATTTTCCCCACTCAAAAAATACAATTTTAATATTTTTATTGGCCAAAAATGTAAATGTGCAAGAAAATGTGTTTAGATTGTTTTTTGCCCCATATATACTTTATAAATTGCCAAAAGTAAAATAATTTTAGTATTTAAAAGGAATATTACTTTGACTGGTGATTTTTATTTTTTATTTTTTTCCCTCCTGCCTTAAGGTTTTCTGAGGACAAAAATCCATAAAACAAGAAATGAAATTGTTCTGGCCTTACTTCACATCGTTTTTTAGTGATAAAAATGTAATCGACAGATGTTTATTGGCTGAAGGCATATTTCCCTTGCTTTTCAGGAAAGGGGAGGGGGGTAATTTTCTTGGGGTAATAGTATGTAGAAATATTTTTTTTTCTGTTGTGATAAATGTATCATAATTAATGGTGGTGTTTACACAGATTGAAATAAGAAGACTCCACATCATAAGTCTAATCATGTTCAGAGCCCTTCATAGAACAGTCAGTCATTTGTTGGAACTTGGAATGTATTTTTCACTTTGAAGATACATCAATGGCACATTTTGTTTTGCACTTGCATTAGAGAGTTGACAATATTTTATTTTTTTAACTGCTTCATTTTATCATGTTTATAGATTTTAGTTGATTTATAGTTTTGTTAATTATGTAATTCTTGCCAAAACACTTTGGTGTTTTGTTTTAGTGTCATTCATTTTCTGGTTTTGATGAATTTGTTAAAACATGTTTACATGTGATGAAAACATCCTTCATACATACCTCGTAGTTACCGATATTATAAGGCATTATTGGAATGTTCCATAATTCCAAGGGTATTCCATAGTTTCTGTGATGAGTTCGATGCAGTTCTTTCTAGAACCTTTTCAGTATCACTTGACATCCTAGCTTAAATCAGCCATCAATCAAAATATTTGGTCTCATCCATGAAACCAAGACTGACTTATTGCCGAACTTAGTTATGCAGTAATTAATATTAACAGACAGGCTGTGTTTCACAAACAGGTACCCAGGTAGCTCTTTCATATTTAGACATTGTATTTAGTAACATTTGTGAAATTGAATAATTTTCCTTTTGTTTTTTAGGGTATTTGTGAACTGTTTAAACTTGAATTTGATTTAATTAAGAAACAGTTTGAGCATTGCAAATCAACTTCTCTATTACTGTAACGTATTACATTTAGAATTACACTTTCTCAGTTACGTACAGATTCGAGTACTTTTCTACTTCTCAAGGACTGAACCCTGAAAAGTGTAACCCCTGTATATTACATATGTCAAATTTGGCCAAATTTGAAAACGGCATTCTCTTTAACTGCCAAACTCTTCAGAAGCTACTTCCATTGGAAGGTTCGCTGAGTTTAACAGGAGTACTTTTAATACAATGTAACCAAGGGAACCCGTCGTATTCTTCCACACCACACCAACATGCCAAATGAAGACACCCTATATTTTGTTAATTATTGCTTATTCTGCATTTTTAACACAATCAGGTTTGAGTTGATGGGAATATTTATTTATTTTTTTTATTTTGTTTTACTGTCTGAAATATGGTCGACTGAAGAAGGCAAAATGACACCACTGTCATCCAACAATTTGTGATATCTCCCTGATATAAGGTTTTGATGAACATTTAAAACTTTATTCATTATTGGTAATGTAAAGGCATTAGGAGCTTACTTGACAAACAGGTTAGTGATTATAATATATAATCAAAATCCAGATAGGATTATGAAATGTTAAGAGTGTTATGTAAGCATATCTGATAATGATTTTTTACTGCTCAAGTATTATACTGGCTAGTAGCAGGAGACTACAGTGTGCTCAGTGTTATAGTCACATCTAGTATTGTCTACTTCGTCAGTCCAGCGTCGTCCAGTGATAGTGCATGTTATCATTGCTATGTGTCTGTCACTGCGGTCTCAAGGACCATCTTTAAGTGGCTCCATGTCGCCTCTTATGTTTTATACATTGTGTATGTATTGCCATAATTATTGATACACTCTGTAATGTATGTGTTTGTCATGCTTTTTTTAATCATTTTATGATTAAAAACATTCATAAATTAAAAATTGTTGTGTTTTGTCAGAGACCATATTTTATACTATTATATTGTCAATGGTTTTGTGTAAGGTATTGTTGTAATTTATCTGATGGGTGATAGGATTCCTTCAATGTTTCTCTTCTATCACAGGATTTTGGAGCAATTTGGGAGTCAACATTGAAGTTACCCGTGAAGATTCGGGTTAGAATTGATCTTCAGCAACCCATGCTTGTCGTAAGAGGCAACTGATGGGATTTGGTGGACAGGCCTGATGACTTCGTTGACTCGTCATTGTATCCCAGTTGTATAATTTTGATAGTAGGAAATAAACCTTTTTAAATTGAAAAAGGAGCCCCAGTGAGTTGGGAGATAGGGAAATTTAGACTGCTTCATTTAGGGCTTTAGCATTGCAGGAAGGGCTAGGCATTAGGGAAAATAATGTGGTTCAGGGACTGTGAGGTAGACTACCATAATGCTGAGTGCCAGGCAGAGACCAACAAGTACCATATTTTAACATCTTTTGGTATGAAGCAGCAGGGGATCGAACCCGCGGACCTTCCGCACTCCGGGCGGACGCTCTATCCACTACACCACGGAGATGTTCCATGATCATATGAAGAACATAGCAATGGTCACATGCAGAACACCATAACAAGGTATGTCACATGCAGAACACCGTGTTTGGTAAAACGCACAATTGCAGTGCTGACATACGTTTCAATAGACAAGGCTTACCTGGACTCAAACCCACACTAGCAAGTTTCCTGAGTGCCTAAGCGAATTGCATTGCCATAGACAACTAAACCACCTCCCATATCCAGCCAAACTGAACAAAGTCCACATACTTGAGACACAGTTGATGTGTACAGTGCTTTATTTATTAAAGTAAGAGAGCCTGTGTAGACACTGGAGTGTAGCATGTCTACACATATACAAGGATAATAGGGAAGTCTTCTTTGATTGGTATTCTAGAGGTTGGGTAGATGAAGCATGAGGACTATATTTATGGATATACAACTTCTTTATTCTGTATAGACGACGTTTCGACATAGATTCTAATGTCGTTGTCAAGCAAGTCACTTGACAACGACATTAGAATCTATGTTGAAACGTCGCCTATACAGAATACAGAAGTTGTATATCCATAAAAATAGTCCTCATCCTTGATAATAGGGAAGTCTTGAATGAAGATGTACATCAAATGACTGATCTTTACAGTAAAGAATATGTCCTCTCTAGGCTGGACAATACCAACAAATCCTATACATTGATTATGTTATCTAAATGAAGAGAATGAGCTAACATCTTTACATGAGAGGCCTTTACATTATTAAAACACACAGAAACACATTGCGTAAAGTGTAATAGATATTCTCTTATGATCCTTTAAATGCATGGTATCAAAATCATCACGACAACTTGTCTCTGATCCATAAACTTCAATATCACCACCCCCCACCCAAAAAACTAAACAAAATAAAAAATAAACCCCAACAAAAAAAAAGGGGGGAAAACCATGACAGATTAGATGTTGAAAGCCAAGGCAAGTAAGAAAGAATATGTGTAAAAGACTTCACCCGAACCAACAAAACAAATACAAATGACAAGGTAGATATAGAGTAATAAATGTATGTAAATAATAATGTTTCCTGTAATCATTTTATTTTGAGATGTATTTATTAAACACACCCTGATAAACCGCAGTAAAAGCTTCAGGGACTAGAATATGTTGCTGAGATTAATGTCCTATAATTTTCAATCTTAAACTCTTGGACAGTTGAAACGTGTCTTCAGCTGCCTGATTCCAATTCCAAGCACACCCCAAAAGTACAGTTCAGTTGCAAGTAAGCTTATTCCAAATGAATGAATGTACACGGCAGTTACATGCCACTTTACTCTTACGTTTCTATTTAAGAAGTACTTTGTCTAGACTCTCACCCAAATAACTTGACTTGTAGTGCCCTGAGCATACCAGCTGGCGTGGAGATTGGTGCGTGACAAATTCACTCATTATTATTATTATTATTATTATTACTCTGAGCAGGGAATGAATGTAATCTGGTGCATGAAGTATATTCCAAAAATAGCCTGAATAAAATGTTCAATTACATGTACAATATTCCTGAGGACTACTGATAATGGAGGACCTTTTCACATATTGACATTTTACAGAGAAATATGAAGCTTGTCATAATCATGACATTGAGGAAGACATTTTACTTTCAGACCCAGTCGTTCAGTAATATCAGCCGGAAGAATGCCAACAAAAGAAAATACAGTAGAACATGGATATAGCGAACACGGATATAGCGAACAAATTTAAAAGTCCCGTCAATAGTCCTTTATAATATCATTAAAATTATACGAGAATAACAAACCGTGAGTAGCGAATTAACGGCTATAGCGAACTGATTTACTAACCCCAAGACCCAATTAACGACGTGATTAGCGAACTCGCTCACTGTCAGCTCAGTGTCAGCTCAGCCACTTAGCAGTATACATCAACCTTGTTGGCGGCGAATCAACACTGTTTGATGG